CCAACCACTGCCATCTAGACACGGTAACTAACCTACAAAAGCGGAAATAAACAAAAGAAAATCAGCGAACTTCAAAAAAATCTACTGAAATAAGTTACGTCTATGTAACTTATAACAGCAACTTTTCCCCATGTGTTTCAGCAATTCTTATCCAAATTAAATTCATAACATACCTCGTAGCCCGCCACGGGCGCAGAGCCAGGATTCGCGATTGCTGGCGCCCATTCTAATACAATGCGATCAGAATCAAGCAGTAACACGTAAGGTCGACCAGGAGCTGCCCCCCTCCAGCCGTCTAAAAAAGTTGAACCATACAACTCAATCCCAATTGCAAGTTACTATCAAATAACAATGTACGCTTACTGAAATCAGAATGGAAATCATAATCCAGTCGCAGTTGCACACTTGCCGAAGTAGCTGAAGGTACACCACGACCTGCCGAATTAACAGCAACAACTCTTATTTCGTACTTAATGTGAGGATTGAGATCTTTTACTGAAAGCACATTACCATAAGTTAAGTGAAACAACATTCCCGAGTTTCGGTTAAAACAGTAAATTAAAACACAAAAACGGGATTAAAACATCACAAGTCTTTTATAAAAACTTAATTCTTCCATAAAACGTGAATCAGGTTCTTTACAAATATATTACAACAGCACAAGCAGAAATGAATGATTTTAACAAGTTAACAAATGCAATTGTGGAAACTGTAGAGTAATTTCAAGTGCATACTTCTAAACCTGTTTTCCTTGACTAGATCTGCATGAGCAAGATACCATTCAGAAGTCCCAATTTCACGTACTTCAATCTGAACAAAAACTCCATTTGAACAAAATTTTAACCGATTTTCCATAAATCCAGTTCACTGTACAAATAACAAATTACTTGATAACCAATAACAGAGCCAGCGCTTCCTTGCATATCTGGACACTGCCATGTCAAGCCAACATCGTAACTAGTCACATCAGTAATCTCTGGAACACCGGGAGCACTTGGAACGTCTGGAAGATTTAATGAATATAACGGCTTTTCTCCAACGAATCGATTTGCAGTGATTTCATGCAGCATATCGCTTAATAATAGTGTGGCGACTACGCATCAAACAGAATGTATACATAATCCTTTATGAAACTGAGACTTACAGGACAGAAACTATTCTATTTTTGATATCTAAATTTTAGACAGTTGATAGTTTCAAATATTTTGCTTTTTCAAGCCAAATAATGCGTTTAACTGGAGCTGTTAGTTTTCTCAAAGCTTTTTTACATGTCTATTTATAGTTCAATACTATTCAAACGCCATCAGTCTCACATCGATATAAAGCTGTTGGGTAAAATTCTATAAATCCAACAAATAATTAATAATGAGCAGACATTACTAAAAAAAATTACCTCTTGAGGCATATCGTTCAGCTTCATGGAAAGAACTTGGCGCAGGTGGTGGTGCATCATAAGCAACGTCGAGTCGACAGGAAGTATCTTCATCTGTAATGAGATCAGAAGAAACAGTTTATTATCCATTACAATTCAAAATTTAAACTTGTAGATTTGTCACCTATTATGAATTTCACAGTAATAAACACAAATATTTCATAGATTGATTGCTTGATGCTGACTACCATGTTCATATGGCAGAGAAGTACGTGTAACTGGCAACGGACTTCCATCGGCATCAAAAAAATATTCAGCTTCTTGATTAGTAACAGGTAAATGGCGAACCGATCTGGTTGTTGTTACTTTGGTGACGCGAGTTATCTGCAATTTTTCAGAAAATTGATGAACAATTTATACAAAACTTCTTAAGCATCATAAATAGCATATCGCATTAAATATAGAGTAAAATAAAGTGAATGAAAGTAAGACATCTTAGAAATTAAAGTAGGTAATAATATAATAAAGTCGAACTTTTTTTGTTTGAGATGAATGTCGCTCAATATCACCATTATGTTCTTTATTTGGGAAACGAACATCGGGTGATGTTTCGTCAGGAGGTTCATCATAATGTGACTCGTAAGTGCAGGAATAAGTTGAACCACGTGCACTGGTTAACCCAGCTAATACTTCGGATAAATGTGTTGGAGGGATTCTGGAACAATGCGGTATCAGCTAAGAGATTAGTTATGCACCAAGCACTAGAAACCATAAAAATTGCTTCAAACTTTGATAATGATACTTTCCAGAAAAGTGACATAACTAATTTAGAATTTGCTTCATATTTGAAAAAATACATTGAATGTGTTGGTTCGTCCTTCTTCCTTAGCTTCCACGTATTTGGTAATGCTGATTGAGGTACTGTGCTGCAACAATTATTACTTGAAAACTCGAAAAGAAAAAGCGGTGCCTGATTACATCATAACTGGTAAGAAATATTAGGAAACTTATTACCTTCGACAGTATTCCAGACTTCATACGGGATTAAAACAGTGACTTGGAAATTTCGAAAAAAGTTAGATCCACGTTTCACTGAAATGAAACATACCTTACAAGAGTGTCTACTTGTTCTGATGTATACACCTCTGTTAACCGAGACTTCTTTTCATGTTTAACAGTATGTAAGGGCGAAAACGAGGTGTGCTCGTGATCTTCCTCTGGAATGGGTTCCATCTAAAACATATCGGAGCAAGTGAATTGCCAACAAAAAAGGTATGATATTTCCAAAGTTGCACGCTATAACTGGAATGAGTGAAATACAAATAAGAATGAACAAATGAAATAAGTTGACAAAACAAACGAAAGACAGTGACCATCCCTTTTCTTTCGCCAAGAAATTACGATTTAACAATGGCTGCGATTTTAACATTTTAACATTACGATTTTAACAAGTTTTACAGTGACATCCTCGAACAGCCCATCCACCCAACTACTTTTAATATTCGTCTAAATAAAAGCATACGAACTGGCTGATTACTCACAGTTCGCTTACGAAGTAAACGGACCTTTAAAAAGAAAAGGATGGGAAGTTCACTAGGCATTGAAAGGTAATGCAGGTCCAACGAACAATGAAGCCCTTCTCATCACACTTTAGTTCACATTTGTTTGAAATTTGAGTTTAAAACCAAAAGTAAAATCTCGAGAATTGTACAGCTTATATTTCCCACTTTTTCATCCAAAATTTCTTTCCTTTTTTCCTTTCATGTATAATTTAAAATCACAGACCCTTTCAGACAATACATACAAACACAAATATTACAGACTCTCACAACCCGGCCTAGACATTTTATCACGATCTGGGAGTATCAACGGTCGTACATTGCTACAAACATGCACGAACACATTTACGGAAGTTTCAAACAAGTCGAAAAGTCATCGCCACATGCTGGGTTGTCCATTACTGGCCTAACTGACGAGAGAACTGAAAGGGAAAATATGACACTGCAGCGATTGAATGATTAGGAAATAAGCCGAGTATGAAAAGCAAATAAGTGATGGAACGTACTATCATCGACATACCACTACCCCTCCTTCCCTTCTTTTAAAGAATCACATACACTGTTATCGATTGGTAAATATCAGTGAATATTTCTGTAAGGTTTTACAGTAGTTGGAGTTTTGAAATCTGGGAAATCGAGACAGAGCAGCCGAGTACTTCAATGGCTGACAAAAGTGGAATGAAGCAGTAATTGTCTTCAAGGACGAATTAAGCAAAAAATGATGTAAGCATTGAAAGTGTATGAAGGGAATATCGTTGAAGTGCATACTTGAATCTTCATGAAAACAGTACAGAGAAGGAAGAGGCACTAGGAAGACAATGCAGGAGGAGTATCCAATTGGGAATGGTACCTCACCAATACCTCTAACCACCAGTGGTCGTCGTTCCCCGCTATGTTGCTTGCCTTTCTTGGATAGAGAGTGAACCGCATTTTGATTATCGGGCCTTAAACAGCTCATTACAATATTTGTTGGGTTTTCTATTTGAGGAAAGTATGGCCTACTGGACGTTTTGGCTGACGTTTACTGCTCATAGGCGATGCTTACGGCAAAAATTACTCAGCATATGTCCATGTCAATCGCTTCAAGGAGGGTCATCATATGTCCATGCCCGTCTGGTCCCATCACTAACCCGCTTTGTTCTCCCTGAAGATTCTCCGATATCGGCGACCAAGAGGTACTACCTTCATTGAAGCAGACGACTGCATACCATGCATTAACATTGTTTAATGCATGAAATATTGGCCATCATTTGACACTATTCACACCTCCCACTATTTTAATGATAACTGGTGCCGTGACTGTTTCTGTAAGGACTTTTCCACTCTTTTTTCCGTATATTTACCAACTGTGATACATTTTATGTATTTTAATAAGAAATCGGCCGAAGAATCTCTTCCCATGTCTAATGTGCATTAGTAACAATGCGCCATTGTTAGTACTCCAATATTTATAAACAACGCTTAAAAACTTGAAAAGCAATTTAGATATTGCTTCAAGAATAATGCATCATTCTAAATTTGCATGACAGTCTTATAGTTGCTCTGAGTTAATAGTAAACATCAACATGACTGCAAAAGATCGGTCTGAATTATTAATTTCTACATATTCACTATTTCATTTCATAGTGAATATACAGAGGATGTACTTGAGAGCTTTCCCATAATGTTGAAGGCTTCTGAGAGAGCTTTAAGGTAAATATTAACCGAGAAATCCAACCTCTCAAATACTGCTAATCTACTATTCCTGAATGTTCCTTACACATATTTACATCTTTAGAGTCAAAGCTTTGGCATCTTCCGTAAATTCCTGCGTTTACAACATTCACAAACTCTCTAGTTCCGGACTAGAAGTTCCAAGCTTTACAAAACATTCGCTAACATAAGCAAAGCTACAGGATAGAATAGTATTTGCAGAGCGGTATGGAGTACGGAATGGTGTTACTGCTGGCAACAGCGAACTGTTTACTGAAATCCACTATTTGAAAGCTAACACAGCTTTCAGTTTTCTGCACTATAACCAGAGAAATCGATATGTATACCTTCCACATACACACAACATACTATCAATATATTCAGTACAGTATGTACTGCATGTATGCATCAACACTCTTAACATGTTTGAACTTTATATCTTACTTGAGTGAGTTGCTGTGGAAGTTTGCGTACGTAATGGTTGGAAAACACCAACTTTATCAACTGAATTGTTTAAGAAAAGTTATAAATGGAAGTGTCAAGTAGATAAAGTAGGAATAATATCTAAAACATAGTGCCTGATGTTCCACACGCCGGATAATTTTGTGTCCAGAATGCAACTTACTTTAGAACACTTAGCCATGACCGGTAGACGGATAAAAATGTGCAAGGAATGCATGCGTCTTATTATCATCTCAAACGTCTAACTCTACATTTCTTATTATGATGTTTCATCACTCGCGACATGACCATATCTGCATTCAATGATTGTATCTCTTCCTGAGTTGTTTATGCTTGGAAGTGCTAAGTGTCCTCAGTTGTGGGCTGTATTATCATATCATCACTATTCATCCACATCTCTCTGATTTGCGCATAGTTAAAAGCAACAACTGATATGAAACTAATGCAAATACAGTTACCCCAACATGATTACATTTGCATTTCGTCCTTACATTCGCAAAAATTGAGACTTTAAGAACTCTGGTCATCCATTAGTCTCTACTACACACTCCTTATTCCGCTCTCCTCCCCCATTATCACTTCTACAATATTATGTTCCTGAAAACAAACTGCGCAAAATGATTCCCGCCAACTCTTCAGCAACAGATCCATCAGTTAAGCTACGTACAACCGGATCAAGAAGTGTGTTGATGCGATGAAAGATGAACAATATCACACCACAGACCAAGGATAAGCAAACCGAAATCACTGACAATCTACTGCGAGTATAGATTAACCGAAATGATTTGGAAGATTACATCACGGATCACTTTCAAGTGAAAAATAATCGGTTAATAGTTAATAATGAATTTGAATAGACCACTTGAAAGTGGTCTATTCAAATTCGGTACTAACATATGTCACAAGCATGAGACGTGCTACAGTGATCAAGTGGCCATATAATTCTGCAATATTTCTAGACATTTGAATTTAACTTTAATGAATTCAATGAAGAAGTAAAAAGTTTTCTTTCATTAGTATATGAATTGGACAATGAAAAATCCAATGAACAGGAAGGGAAAACAAACAAGTAATCTGACTGACAAGAAGTTTAAATCTATGAGCAACAAAGAAGAGAAATAACTGTTTGAAAAAACAACTGAAAACATTGGGAATGGTACACCTGTATAGGTGAAGCATTAGGAATTGCATATCGGTACAATAACGATGACCGGATGGACAAGAAAATGTGCTCTGTTTGTAAAATAATTGTCAATACATGTGCAGCAAAAAATACGAACATAATGAAAAGAAAACTGTCTCCTGAATTTATTTGACTCAGTTCACTTGTCAGATTTCACCAATAAAGTCCATTTCATTCCTGAGGAATTATGAATAAATTACGAAATTTACCCGGGAAGGTATTTAGGTTGTTTTCAAGAAACAAAGGTGAGGATGTTAGCTGAGGGGACGGAATTAGGGAATTCAATATAAACTCACAAAAACAACTTATTTATTCTAATAAATAGGGAAATTTCTATCAACAACATGCGACCACTTCTCATAACCACCATCAATATCTTTGAAGGAAATCAAAGAATCGGCAAATTCTTTACGCAAATACAGTACTGCTATTTGCGAATCCTCACCTCTACGACAGATCACGTAAACTGCAAACACACGAGTAATTTAATAACAAAGATCAGAAAGTAAAATACATTTTCATCAACCTGATATTGGCTCATGACAACTTTATTTGCTCATCACTAGGAATACCTATACATTTCATGTAACTTCAGCGTCCATAAATTAAGGCCTGGCCGCCATCCTACTCACCCGCTCCTGTACACTGAATAAAATTTTCTTTTTCTGGAAATTGGAAATCCCCATCTTGCAGGAGAGGTATATGCATAAAGATACGAGATAGATATACTTCGAAGTATCTATGAAAAAATTATTTTATATTTCTCTAGCTTTAAAATGACTATCAGTCAATCCTTCCAATTTCACGAAAACTAACTACTCATGGTCTATTTCATTTCATTCCTGAATATTTCAGAAACATAAAGGTTATTTTTGATGGAAATTAACTCACATGGAAAGTTGAAAAATGTGAAAAAACAGAAAGAAATTTATATTTACAACTGCAAAAACTTAGAAACGAACCTCCCTTATCTCTCATTTCGTTGATGTCTGTTCCAAGCTCGCGCACTACATCTGTTGAAGTTAAACAACAAAGCTTCAGCATTGGTATATCTGAAAAGCGTCAGCGAGGTTTAATTTCCAAAAATCATGAGAATAGTAATAGTATTTAATAGTAAAAGTACCAATTTTTACTTAATACTAAACAGAATGTTCAATATAACATCGGTATGCCAAAAGAAATGTGCGACATTACTGATAGCATCAGGTAGATGTCCAATGCTAAACTCGTGCGATCGTCTTGTATCTATCAAAAACGGCTTCTTTTCATTGTTTTCACTGAGTTTAAAGTAAGAATATGGATCAATGCGATCATTTTTCGCCAGAATCTCGACCTAAAATAAAGCCTGGAAGGCTTTTGTTATAGGGACATCCGAGCAATGCCTTTGTTATAGGGACATCGAAGCAATACCGCTTGTTAAATAACGCATTTATGGAAAATGACATTAGATTTGCTTAACAACATGACCTTAGTTGCCTTGTGTAGTTTTTGTTTTTCATGTATCGTTGTTTTATTTTTAGCCACTAAGTATTTAATGTTGAAAATCCCTTTTGTCCTCAAAGTAAAGGGCAGTTTATTGAAATACGAAGTGAAGTTTAAAAGCTCTAATTTAATTCATTTTCTAACATACAGTAGCTTACATCACTACAGAATGTTAATTAATGCTGAAGATAAATGTTTAAAAAAATCCCAATTGTTTCGTCTATCTTTGAAACTTTCACTATTTTTCGCCTTTGTTGAATGGAGTACCCTTGCTCTATAGTATAAAAAAGACGAATTAAATAAATATCGAAATTTTCAACAAGTCCATTGTCTCTTATAAATAACGTAGCTTGCAAAATTTCAGACTTTCCAACACAGTTTTTTCAAAATTAAAACTTTTACAGGTGTTCTGCTGGAATGTCCATATAATTCTTTATAGTCTATAAGTTTAGTGATTGTTGCGTCCTTACCACACACCGCACAACCAACTTTTTGTCGCCTCAACTTTACAGTTTTTGCTGTTCCATTTAAAGCATTGAACAAATACAAGAAACCAGCAAAGCAGCCTGAAATAAATCGATAACAAAGCCAACAAAAAATGGCGTAACAGAATAAAAAGTTACGGTTATTTGAACAGAAATTCAAAATTAGAAAAAAAACTTTTTTTTATCGCAGCAATTTTGATGATTTCACTGGCTTGCATACTGCCGATTACACCGACCACCGGTCCAAGTACTCCATTTTCTGAACATTTTGTTACAGCATCCATTGGAGGAGGTTTAGGAAACAAACAACGGTAACACGGACAGTCCTCAAAATGAAGAAATTTTCAAATATCATTTCTCAAACTCATTCGACCATACATATTGAAGGAAAAAGTGTATCTACAGATCAATCATAATATTCTTTGCTGCAGTCCTAGCAATACTGAAAATCTGAAGAATCAACTCAAGCATATCCTTACTTCTCCATAACCGTATACCGACAACTGACCATCCCAACGAACAGCACTTCCTGACACCAAAGGTTTCTTCGTCAGTATACAAGCATCATTGATCAAATACCTAAAAGTAAGCAAAAATGAAAAAAAGTTGCAATTACACCGCTTAAGATTGTTATAAATGGTTAAATGCTTTATTCAGTATGACTGTAATAGTTTTTAAATTCGAAGTTGCAAGTTCAAAATCAAATTTGCTACAAGTTTCAGAGTGAAACCTCCGATTTTTGGAGTTTTTGGAAAGAAAAGTACGCAACTTGCGGAGACGTTGTCCGTACAGTCGGCGACAATGTCATAATTGGAAACAATGTCTAGCGCATTGCGTTTGGACAGATAACGTTTATACACATCAACGCGAACGCTGCTATTTAATCTTAAAAATTGAATAAAATCCAGAAAGTACTTTTATATTTATCGAACAAATTAAATAAAGGAAAACAGAGGACAAAACTTAATATGACAATAAATCTTGTCCCACCTCAGTATTATAGAAATTGCGAATTTCTACCGCACTTTTTAACTGATGATTTTAGCGATTCTGCTTTTGACTGGCCTACAGAGTGTTCATGATAAGCAATCTGACGATGAAGATTGTTAGAGGAAACAGAGTCACCATCCACAATACCAATTCGACCAACTCCTGAAAATTTATATTCACTAGAAGTGAGTTCAGAATTAATTTATTGTGAAAAAGTAACTTGATGAAAAAATATATTACCAGCTCCCGCGCAATAAAGCGCAACAGGACATCCCAAACCACCAGCACCAACAATCAACAACGAAGTGGATCGGAGTTTTTCTTGACCTGAAGGAAAAAGTTTTCGTTGGCTTTAGGAAATATTTCTTAAACAATGTGTTCAGTAGGAAAAAGTAAGGGCAAGACTATTTATACAAGTACGAAGTCCTACACACATAAGTCCATTATAATTGAATGAAAGCACGTGAACATACTTATACGGCGAACGTGTCTTCCAGCACGACTTCAAAGAAAGTTAAAAAAATAACCACAACTGCATTTACAACGTACTGTACAAAACCAGATAATTACATCAAAACCTATGCAATGGAATAAGTGAAATGTTCAACCTTGGACACCGAATTCTTGCACCAGAATTTGCCTGCTATATCTCATCACTTCCTCGTTTGACAAAGTGTGTTCTTTCTCAGCCATCATCTTATAAAACTTAAAGTCCTATTCTTGTCTATTGGTACCTTCTGCAACAAAAGCATTTCAACGTAATGGAAGGAAGAATATATAACTTTACAAAAGCTTTATAAATACATAACTCTGTGAAAGAATATATAACTTTATAAAAGCTATCTGATTTTTTCAGTTTCCCTACTGGCGGCTGCAATGATCTGGAAGACATATTACAATGCAGTAAGGCTTAGTAAGGGTTACCGCCTATAAAATAATGGCATTTCTCTTGAGGTGTTATTAGGAGCTCAGTCTACAAGTTATACAGTGTTTCGTATTTGGTACGGGATGATCCAAAAACTCCTCTTAATAATACTACAATCTTCAGTAGGCAATATGCATCAACTCCACCTTTTAGTTGTCAACCTGTTCACTGCTTCCGTCCTTATTTGAAATTCCTGGCTAAAACCCTACACCTTCCCTCACCCACCTGGTACCACATTCTGGCCCGCGACGCTGTTAAATGCCATTCCATTTGTGCGTGCTGCTTGCACTTCGCCAAGCCACGCCCCATCTTTTAGTTCTCGTTGAAGCAAGTGTATGAATGCACTAAACATTTTGCAACTGTTTAAGAGAAATGGAAATCTGATTATGAAAAAAGCTTTGTAAAATCATGCACTAAACGTGGAGGACAGTAACGCTCATACAAATGAGAATTCCAAATTCTCATTTGCGCCGAACCAATAAATTGCATACAATTATGAGTGGTCAATGCAGTCCAAGATTTCCGAGATGACATATGACATGCGCATGTTACGACACCAAACCAACATGTTTCGATGGAAGCATCAAATATAAGTTTGCAATCGTAATTTCGAATGACATTATTCACTGAACCGTACATCTCGTCATTTTCGATCTTGATATTAAAAGATTTTGACCTTTGATATTAAAATCAAAAAAAATAACTTAAATAACTGATGATAAAGAATCTGTGCTTATTTGAAATTATCTACTTCAAAACTGTAAATGTGGGTATAAACGAAACTCTTTTGGGTAAACGTTTATGTGGATATAAAAGTGCTCTGCCGAGCGAATGTGGGTATGAACGAAGCTCTTTCGAGTAAATTTGTGTATAAACGATGTTCTGTCAATTAAATATGAGTATAAATAAAGCTTTATCACGTAAACGTGGTGTAAACGGAGCTCTTTCAGATAAGTTATGGTTGTTGAATGCTCTAGATATTAGTTACATTTTGTTTTACTCATTGATATACTGGATACCTCGTGGGTAAATGCATATAAATGAGTCCCGCATTTAAATTTTCAAGATTTGATCATAGAATGTGAGAATAGATATGCATGAGGACTCAAGCGGCATTCCTTCACTCTGCAACCGTGATCCTCCGATATACCATGCTGTGTGACGCGTCCAACAGGTAGGGAATCTTGTCGAACCAAACTCCTTCCAAAATTACCACCATCATGTTTTTGTCCTTTTGAACCGAATTTTATCAAAGGCACTTGTCTTCGTCAATATGCGTAAGAGGCAGCAAGTTAGGCAGCTGTAAATATGTAAATAGTTGCCAAAAACGTTTAAAAAAATTAAACTCTCCAGTTGATTTTTCCAAAGCTATGTTGTAATAGTTATGTTCAGAAATTTATTTTCAGAAACTTTTGAACATCATTCATAAAGCTTATAACACTGGATCAGTTGACAACTTGTACTCATAGTGTATTCGTATTTAGAGAGAGTCCAATAGGTTTTTTTTTGATGAACCATTGTTGTAAACTTAGGACAAAAATGAAAAACAAGCTTCTCATTTGTAGCAATTACTCCATAAGGGATGTTATGAGAGAAAAAATATTTCTAGCAATTTCAAATCTAGTACTTTTTTTAACTTTCCTATGTTGTCCCATTCAAATTTAATCAAGTGATAGAATTTTGAACTTGTTGATGCATAGATTTACTTATTATTGAAGGATACCGCTCTATTTTTTGTCTGTTACACACTGAGGATGATACTTGCCATTCGATGAAATGTATTTCCTCCACGACATCCTAAATTCGATCACTATCAGGAAGTTTTTTTTTCTTAAAATTACCTAAATCCCTTTTGCCCTGCGACTTTTCATTTACGTAATTTACAAATGAGAAAGAACAAATTGCTTCAAAGAGATATTGAAAACTGACTCTTCTATTCCTTTTTTACAGGATGGGGAGGAAGGCCTAAAATTTGTTTAATAAAAGATGTACTGGGCAATTTCTTCATGATTCTGCTTGTTATTGTTAATTTTTTATCTTCATCTATCCATAATAGCTAATGCACCCTGCAAATGAGTCGTCACCATGTCATTGCAACCCGTCTAACCAGTGTGTATGTGTGTGCGTATGTGTGTGTGTGTGTGTGTGCGTATGTGTGTGTGTGTGTGTGCTGCAAGAATTATTAACCAAAAAAGTTTCGATTGCTTTGGAACTTTCTACCTATTTTTACAAAAAAAAGTGAAGAAAAAACAGTCAGTTTTCAGCATTAGTAGTTATTTTTTCGAAATTTAGGGTTTTTTATCCATTTCCTTACAAATAACATTTTTCGATTTGTGAAGCAAATGAACGAGAACTTTCTTGCATCATTTTCTATGCTCAACGCAATCTAATGTCAAAGCGGAAACTGTCTTTATATCCTAAATTATTTTAGTGGTTGAATTTTTTATATATGAAAAAAAATTTTTTTAACATGCTGAAAAACTGATTACTGGAAGAGAATGTTATTTGTCTCCTGATTTTTTGCATTTTTTTTCCAAAAAATGATACTAATTTCCAAAGCAACAAAGTTTTTGTTTTACATTAAAAAGTACGCTGAATAATGTTCCTTGTGCTTTCTACTTTTGTGTGTTATCGCATTAGTTGACACTGTCCTTTTTCATCGGCATCATAATCATTCTGCGTAGTTTTGAACTGTGGGACGCTACCACTTATCGCTTTTTACTTTTTTAAACATTTGTGAAAGTATGTTCAAATGATGAAAAATCTTTTTTGATATTGACTCTTCTGATCAAAGATTCTGGATTACCAGGACTGCAAATCAGTAATAACGCCAACAATTTGAGTTGTCAGCTAGGCTGATCGTGTATTTTGTAGAAAAATTCAAAATATAAATTATTTCGTCATCTAATATCTCCATAGAGTGCTGCGATCAGGATTGGCCACATTAAAAGACTTGAGATCGTAGATGACTCCACTGAAGTATTGATATTACTGTGCTTCACAACTGCATGAGGTATTGTCGTAAAATGATACTTTCTTTTAATTTTTGATTACTGTATAAGCAAAGTGGTTCAATCACCCATTAATGATTTACAGAAATGACGCATCCATTCGACGCTGATGACTTACTAAAAAGATCGATATTCAGCTCTATTCTTGGATTTGGCCGTAAAATAAAGAATTCAGGTCAGAAATTTTGTTGAAAACTATATTATTTTTTGACACAAAATCACAAGTAAAATAATCAGCATGAAACAAATAAAATTGTTTTTTTTGAAATTTTTAATGTAATAATTTTAGTACAAATGATGATTTTCAACATACCATCTTTTAGGGAAGATAGGATCGACGACTAGCATAAATACTAACAGTACCACAGCACTGAGTGATTTAACTCCATACAACCGCAAATATCGAACAAAACAGGAAATATACAACGAAATTGTTTGTGAATGCGCTGAACTGGAGAAAAATAAGGTTTTTAAAAGTTCCTTAAATTTAAATTGAATCTAGAATTTGGATCTGATTCAACAAGATTCAACATTGTCACGGAAGCATAAGTCGTAAAATTTGAGCATTGCTCGGTATCCTAATTCATCGAGTCGTGTAATATTTAAAAATGTATCACTATCATAGGTTGCATCGGTGCCGAATTCAGCTGAGATGAGATCCGTAGCATGCTCCACAAATGGGCTGACTGACACAACAATAAGTCCATGCATTCCGGATCCTCACACTTCATTAGAACACAGTAACAACAAAACAATACAGAATTTAGTTCAACTATTGGTGGCAGCTGTTAAGGAAAGTGGAATCCTCAATGATCAAAGTGGAACAAGTTCACCAGAAGACATACTGAAACGTAAAAGGCTACAGGTAGATTTTTCTATGAAGCAGAGGGTCACCATCGTGCTCAATAAGTGTTGTGGAAACTTTCCGAAACTTTCGAAAGACATACATTAATTGATTTCTAGATAAAAAAAAAGCTACGCACATCACAAAAGCTCAAGGATGAAAAGGAAGAAGAGGGAGGGAATTGCTGCACTAATTAGCGGATATATAGTTTCAATATATGGAAATAAGATTTAATATGTATAATACTAAATGACATATATAATTAATATTTGTGTTGGCTCAAATTTTAATAGTACTTGTTTTATTGAAAAGTCAATAATGCTGGTTTGAAATATACTTCGAGTAGTTTTACTGAAATTAGCTTGAAACAATATCTTATTTGAAGTATATATTTCATAAATAAATGAACTATGAGTTGCATAACGTATTACTGGCTTTCCAATAAAATTTTATGTATTAAACATACATTTTATGTATTAAGCATGCATTGTATCTAACACTAGTAAAAGCTAAATTAGTTAAATGCAACGACCAGGCTTAAACATAATCCCTTTAGTTACAGCTAACATTAGGAAATATCTCCAGGAGTAATTTTTTAATTTTATCTTTAACATTCCAAACTCGTAACGCTGCTGCTCATATTTCCGACAGTACGGCTTTAAGATGATCTCTTATACTTGAATTGCTATATCTTTCAGACGGGTTTAACAAAACATAAGTGACAAATATGTATAGAATATGAAGTCACGGTTTCCTGTAACAATAAACAAATTTAAAGAATAGAAAACCATTCCAAATTTCAGCTTTGAAGAGATGAGTTTTCTTACCGGACTTGTTCAAGTTCAGATTTGGCATATATTTTATTCTTAAAATATCTGCTGCATACTATTCAGAACAAGAATGCAGCGATACGCTACCGAAAACGACAAAAGGAGCTCAAAGAGGAGGCAGAATTGGAAATGACAATCCTTGTGAACAAAAATAATGAATTGAAAAACGAAATCAAACGAATGCAAGCCGAAATCGATCAACTGAAAGCACGAGTTTTAAAAAGAACCAGCGAAGAAGCGTACCCCTCCCGTGAAATATAGATTCCCATAAAAGTTAGCTGTTATAAAGATTTAAGCCTTCAGATACGTTGAAAATGGATGGATACATCGCCACCGCTTAAAATTTTCCGGCTTAAATTCAATAATGAAAACAACTTGCGAATTACAAACTATTTCCATTGTGTTGCCTAATGTTAGTTCTATCAGAAGCTCCCTGCCACTTTCGGTAATTTTTAATTCTGTTTTTATCTTACAAAACTGAGTTTGTATTGAAGGTTTCCATTCCTTGGAATTTGCAAGATGATTAAGTCAAACAAATGAATTTATTTACAAAATATACACTATGTGCAAAATATAGCAAAACAGCGATATTATGATAGAGAGAACAGCTTCGCAACATAAAGAAATCTGTTCAATGTATGTATACGAAAAAGCTCCAAATTATTTTCTTCACCTTGCAATCCTAAATTCTCTTTCATTTAATAAAAGATTGGCATATTGTACCTGATGTTTCGTATATGAACACAACTATGAAAAATTTACAAGTACGATACAGGATTCAGGACTATAAGGACTACTGGATAATTCGCAAACTTTAAATGAAGATACAAACTTTTTTTTGCCAACCCACATAAACAAAACATGATTGTCTGTTTACTGCTACTATAAATTATGCTACACATAGTTTACTCTATAAAAACTGACAAAAGAAAACGAAAGGAACTTGAAGGAAGTGTACAAAATAAATAGCTTTAAGTGAACTGAAAGTGTACCCAAATTTAAAAACATTTGAAGCATTCACAACACAAACAGATTACATGTAATGTATCTGATCATTTACATTATAGAATTGTAACACATTTCTTGATAAAAAAGTCATAAAACATTTCCGAAATTTTTAAAAAAGCTTATTCCTTATTCCACATAACAGTAAAGGAAGTGATACAAAAAAAAAAAATCGAAATCGATCCCTAAAATAATGAAAAAACAACCTTCAAGGATAAGATAAAACGGTTTAGAAATGTACAGAATACTAGAAAACTATGCATCGACATTATCCCATAGAATTATTAAAATTCAAGCGTCACTATCGAACTGAATCTACCACAACGTTTTCAATAATGAGATAAAATTGATATCGTGTCTACATAGAAGTTAGAATAACAAAGCAGGAAATATAACATCATGATAAATTTGTCATTAAAAACAATGACTACAGTTGAATGGTAGTGAGACTTAAGAAAAAAAAGAAAAGAAACCAAAGGAAAAGTTTTTTGATGAACCAAAAAATTTGATAAATAACACTTTCGATCGAATAAGTAAATCCTTATTTACTTGTGAAGGGCTGGAAAAGATGCTCTTCGTTAATTTCAAATAAGACCTTCTACAGCTTTTCATTCATAATTGGATTGCCAAAGGGCGACAGTTGTATCACTAGAAATACAAATTGTAACTTTACAAACTACGATTTAACTTAGAAGATCTCTTACTTTTTTGTCATGCCCTCTATTGCGTGTTTTTCCTGCATATGTAATTATAACACTGAAAGAAATAGAGTGTCACGGAATGTAAATTACGTCGTAATGGAATTTTATAATGAAGCTCCGAAAGTCATCCTCTCTATAAACCTTCTACACACTGCAGATGGATATAACCATCCAAACGGATTTTATGTTTATAATGATAACTTGAAAGATCCCTTATTTTTCTACTACTAAAAATATTTAACAGCAGAAAATCTTCATATTTCAGGCCCATTTGTCAGTTAAACGGAGTGAGGATAGAATTCATCATTCAGTAGTGAAAAATGGCAAAAATTACCTAGAAGCAGTAAAAAGAATGCCTGAATGGGTTGCCAATTCGTTGATTGCTTCTTCGTGAGCATGAGAAATCTAAAAGTATAAGCAATAATAAACAACCAGCTATTATTAGAAATTAAGTATTTCCAATGTAAATTAATAAAATCTTCAGGAAAGTGGAGTTATGAAAAGAAATAAAGGGCAAAACAAGTAAAATGACCTGATCAACGAGACGCAATTTACGTGTGCTCGCAATATCCCACACTTTCACTCGACCCTCCTTACAAGCCGTAACTAACAAAGGCCTGTAGGTATCTAGAATACACATGGATTGAATCCACTTATTGTGTGCTTGTAATTCAATATGGTCCCTCTTCATATCTTGCAGTGAGAAACGCATGATGTCCTGTAAAAAAAGGGAATCAAAATTTTTTTAAAAATCATAAAACATTTACAATATAAAGCTGCAGGTAGTCAATCTAACAGATTTAAAATACTTTGACAGAAAACATAAATAAACTTATCACATTTAAAATACAGACAATTTACAGAGAATGACAGGATAGGAGTAAAAGGACACTGTTATGAATTTTGCAAGAAATTTATTTTGGAATTGAAATATTCAGTCAATTTCTGAGCCACTCTGATTACAAAATTATACTAACCGTATCCCTAGATGCAGAAAATACGGAATCGCCATAGGCAACAACGGATGTAACGCAGTCATAATGAGCTGCCGAAAACTCATGAGAAGCTTCAAAAAGGCCTAATCCATCGGCGTTGATTTCATACATCTTCACATAGTGATCACGAGAACCAGTGAAGATTTTCGGTTTTGCACCACCCAAAAATCCAAGGCATGACACCTCTGATCTAAATTCCGTTCGTATGAAGCATGTCAGTGCTCTCAATAAGCTTGTAAAAGAAATAACTTCCCTACAATTTCAGATTTCTGGAAGAAATATAATGTTGAAACCAAATAAAACTTCGAGGATTTTTAAAACTCAATAATGATTATAAGAATATTTCAATAGTTAAAGTATGTTGCCTCGAGCTATGGGTCGCTGTCGACAAGCGACCGAACGGTGCAAATTTTTCCAAATTCCAAATACGAACATCACTGTTGAATGTTGTAAACATAAGCCTGCGAAAAAATACTTCTACAACAAAATTTACAAATTTATGTGATATCAATATTTTTTTTTTGCACTTTCTTCTCCATAATTTTCAGAATTTTAATTGCACTACGCCGTTATCAGCAGCCTTATTACAACCGTAAAAGGAAGGTAGTTATTTGACAAAAAAGATAACACTCCACTTGTAAAATGATAAAATATTGTGTCTGACAAAGTGACTTACTTCCCCGTGTTGTCCAGTTCCAATGCATTGATCGTCGTTTCGGAAATAGGTAATACAGTTTGTCGAGGTGTGTTCGCAGCCATAGTATCACCTGAACAGTACGAAAATCATACTGCTTTCGCGCAGAACAAATAAAATAATTTACATATAGTAAAGTCCAAAAAACCAATGAAAACTTGTTCCGAATGTGTTGATAATAAAAATGTATTGAAATACTTTAATTTTTATGAAACTTAGATTTTCACATACCCGCAGCTGCAAGACCTGATGAATGCAGCGTACGTACGCATTCTTCATTTCTCAAATCCCAAATACGAACGAATGCCATAGACAAAGTCAAGGCTAACTGGCTGGAGGGAATGAAACGTACACATGAAACATTGTTCGGGTGGTGGCCAAATGTACATTTCTCGACACCTTTTTCCAAATCCCATACTTTGGCTGTTCTGTCTTAAAATGTACCATATAGACTTAAAATGTACCGTATAGACTAACACAACCCACACTGTTTTTCAAAGTTTGCTCTCTGTTAAAGTTAACATACTAATTAAGTAATTTAAACCTCAACAGGAAATTACACCATAAATCTTTCATGATCACCAGACCTTTTGAACCGCTGATTACTACATTACTGTTAGTGTCCACCGAAAGTACCGTTCTAGTATGTCCATCCAAGGTGTGTGTGCGTACAAGTAAACGTGAAGCTGTTACTTTATCACGAGTTCCTGTTAATGTCCGAGGAACATACGGTAGTACACGGCCAGATCTTCTGAAAAAAGGAATCTTTCGGAATTTAAAAAAATGGACTCTATCCAGATTACACGATATACTCCGTACATAACGGAGTATACTGATAAGCGGTGAACGTAATTCTGACTTATAAACCATTCCTTTGAAATGTTTTCAAAAAGCTGAAATACAGACCTTCGAATGCCACGACCAGATGACGGTGATTCAGTGGAACCTCGATCATTCAAATCCAGATCTATCAGTTTCGTTACTTCATTTTTTGGTTCCATTCCCACACTACTTACACTGACCAGCTCTAAAAGTCCTCCTTCAACAGAATGTTCCAGTGATCGTGCTTTCTCGACGATTTGTTGGTCGAGAAATGGAGTTTCTTCGTTGAGTTGTTCCAAATGCGTTTTGTCAGTAACCTCACCTTGCAATGATTTCCTCAGCGGATACAGTAATTCACTTGGTGTAGCCGTACGACGACGAATCTTCTGCGTTGATGCAGGCGGAGATACTGCAACCTTGTTATTTACTTTGCCCAATATGTTTCATACCCTCCAACAATTACTAAGAACATGATGCAAATTACCTTCACGTGATTCGTCGCGTGAATCTTGCGCTACTTGATTTACATTCGCAACTGACCTAATTTCATCACTTTCCCGACATGGCGACGCGTCCCTGCTATGAGTTTGTTGCTCAGCATCCTTAATGGAGTAGCATTAGTTTCCGTCTAAACTTTAGCAATCACGAATTGCTGGTATTTTTCGAATGCTTCTGTGGATAATCAAAATACGCCCTGAACAAGTAAAATTCCACAACCATAATAACAGCAAATAATACTGTCATTAAAGATGAAGTGACAATGTTCAAAATGGTTGTAAACTCTACACATTAAGAAGCAACGAAGACTCACCCTTTTAACATCCTCTAATGCCCGATTCAAAATTACGTCACTTAAAATTGATTCGTTTTGTAGCTCTTGAATCAGTGATTCTGCTTCCTAAGAGCATCAATAAATATTAAAGTGTCGAGAAACAATTTAAGGAAAAAAGAATCAATGGAAGCGAATATTTCAATAATTATTTAAGTAAAAAATATTTAACTGTTGGACAGCACATACACAAGAGAATCCGTAACCACATCCATATGGATCCATAATTTTCATAAAATGGCTTCTTTTTAGAAAGTGCTATTTCTGCATTCAGTATTTAGTATACCACATTAAGCTTCGGGATTAAGAATTTCAGTGTGAATAATTGTGATAATCTAAATATCGCATTCAAAGTCATTCCAGTAATGAACACATGCTTCGTTTTGCATCCTCATTTGGTGAAATGGAATAACTTTATTTTTAGACTATGGCTGCGAAAATGCTATCACTTTGACATCTATTGAGGATCTGTGTGAAACTATGCACAGCCAGTACGGAACAATTAGCGAAGGTATGGAGATATTCGCAAGGCCTCAAGAATCTCCGCTTCTACAGTTGTTGGTTGAATTATCAAGAAGTACTGTTTTTCTTATTGCTGTCACAAATGTGGGACAGCTAAGGCAAACATCTTGACAATCCAAAGTTTTTAACAACAGTAACACTTTCTTAAGATGGTAAAATAAATTCCATTTTTTTTAAAAGACGGTGTCAAAAATGGCACAGAAAACCTAGTGTATTTATTACTGGCAAAACCATAACAAAAAATAAATAGCAAATATAAGCAGTTTAACTTCATAAACTAAATATGTTTTTCTAGAATTGCTTTGTGTTTAATTTGACCTTCAAAGGCTGACAAATAGTATGAAACAACGTTCAAAAACAGTGATAAAATAAATAACTTGGAAGAACTAGCCAAGTATTATTGATTGAAGAGAAAGAACAAAGTAGTTCATTCAGAAGATTTTATTTTGAAAGAAGGCTTCCCAAGTAAACAGTTGCTATCAAACATACGTAAACAACTTATTAGAGAATAAGGTGAAAAATTCATATTTTTAATGTAAGAGTTGAAGGCTTAAAGTTTATATCAAATCCTCCAAGGGCCTACATCAGATAATTGCAGTTCATTCATGCTTGTCATGCAGTGGTCATTTTATTTTTTAACCAGCAGTACTACAGCAATATGCTTAATGAGATTTTCTTTGTGAGAGTAAGCCCTAATAATGAGGTTCTCATGATTGCCATTATTCTTTACTACAATGTCCTTATTCAGTCCTTCGAGTAGTCATGGTACCCCGTCATAAAGCTACGATCCAGCCGATTCCTCTACACATATATTCACACACAAACACAAGTCCACACATAACGTAGTTTGAATGTTTCCTAGGTACAATCCTAATAATATATGCAAAATGACAAATTCTGGAAGACAAAGCCGAACTACTTATAATTCTGGATAACTTATTAAATAATGCAAATAAATTAAACACCAACCTTTCTATCGCTAATAGCTTTAGCTGCAATAAATCCTTGCTCCAAGCAAAAACCGAATAAATGCTTGAGAATAATTACTGCTTCACCAATCGACGAACAGTTTTTAATTTCTGTTTCAGCATCACGACAAGCTTCTGCATCTACCGTCCCCGAATCCTTAAAGGAAACGAAACAACCTTAAACAAGTGCTTGCACAAAACACTGCATTACAGAGTAATGACCATCAAAACAAATAGCTTAAATAAGTAGTCTCGATATCGAAACTGTTACAATTTAGAATTAAAGTGATCCCAGAGCGCAAAATTGCACTGATGAAAACATCTACCCTTTATCTTCTATGCGAACACAACAAATACACATGAGCACAACAACGAAACAAATAGCAAAACATGAAATGAGATAACAGAAAAGAAATGAAGCAGCAGTAAGCGCCCGCTCAGAATGGCGCATATAAGAGTGCCTGTATTATATCTTTTATTCTCTCGTTCTTTGATCAAAGTGCCTATGTTATAACTTTTATTCACTTTCATTCTTTAATTAGATGTTATTTTTCGAATTCTTTAGAACTTCACTTCATTAAAAGGTTACTTTTTCTTTTATTGAGAGAGGAATTGTTAATCCAAATAATCGAATATCGTCCGAATTCAGGCTATTTTTCCATTTAGATTAAACCACGGAGTTCAATAATTCTTATCGCTCAGTAACTGCTAATCCACCAGAAAATAACTCTGCTATCGAGTTTAAACATTCTAGATCAAACAAAAATGAACTGGGAAAGTAACTTAAATAGGTCATTAGTATAATATTAGATCCTTTATTCAGTCTTCTACATTTATCTGTTAGTGAGCATTCAGTAAATATTTGTAAACAACAACAAATAGAGTGCTGTTAAAGCTGCTTTTGTGGACAGTGCCCATAACCGAATTCATTGGATAATGTTAATTGCTATCTCACCTCCGCTGAGTTCATACTGTTTGTATTTTCTAACTTGAGTTTTTTTTTCAAGCATTCAACCAGCTTTCATCTAATTTACTGACGAATTTACAAGAATTGACAGAAGTTTTTTTAGGATATTTCTTTGTTCATGATTACAGAAGATCGCCGTTCTTTCTAAGTCCATCAAACAAAAGTTAAAATGCAAGCTCATTGGACTGACAGGCCCCTACTCAAAAATTTGACTCAGTGGATGAGAGAAGACGAAATGGGAAGGGAGGTGCTAGAATAATGAATGAGCTTCCCTAACTATAGAACCTAGTATAAATTATAAATAGTAAACAATCTACTACAAACTATTATAAAGAACTCTTGTTCAACAATAATCCAATCAAAGGAAGTAGTATTCCCTACCACTTTAGTTTAATTCTTTGACAATTTAACTTGTTCAGTTAAATAGCTCCACTTTTTACCCCGATTTCTCTTCCTTTTCGTTTTCCACACTATTTTAACAGCTAAAAAGTGCTTGGCTAACATAAATTTTTTGCCCCTGAGGGATCAAATCTTCGCCTCAGTCTCAAATGATTATGGCACTTTCCTCACTCTTGTTATAACCTATTCTACATGTCTCTCAAGTATCTCCCTATCAACTGGAAAAAGAAATCAGTTGGATTTTTTTAAGGCTTATCGATTCAGTAATACTATTCTTTCGTTTTTCCACAAATAAAAGGCCAATGTCACTGTAGTTCTCAATCAAATTTTCCCACAGTGAAACTTCGATGAATGTATGAACACAGTGATGTAAAATGAATATATTTAAACAACGGTCTATCCCAGAGTGTTTTAGCGATGCGTTCTGGACAAAGTAGAAGAAATGCTTTTTTTAATGTCTTAGTACTTCGGCATTATTCAACGATGTTTCCCAAAGCCGAACTAATCTCGCAGTTCTTCCTACCATTTATGAATTGATGATATAAATTCATTTTATTATTCAGAAACATTTCCTTAGTAAAATTGTATGACTTTCTTCTCTTTTTCCCATATTTGGAAATGTCGGTTTCTTTTTTTCCAGTTTTTTCAAAACTCTGATCTACCATTCTTATGTCTTCGAATTAACTTGATGCACTATTCATGCACACTTCCAGCAGCAATCAAAACCAACAGGCGTGCATAAATTATGAAGAAAAAAAAATACTTCAGCTATGACAAAATATCAACTACAGTAAGTAATTTTACCATTCTAATTTTATCTAATCTAGGTTGATTTGGCTTTTATGTTCACAGTTCGTAGACACAAGCCGAAAGAACTTTCTACTACAGATGAATGTTGAAATTCTTCATTCTGATGATTCTAAATAGAAGTTCCTCCATTTCTTTCGCAATTCAACAAAACTAGGGACAAATCGGCTCCTGGCATCACAATCATTAAATGACAGTTCTGTGCATATAACTATCGCATGATGACTGATTCACAGGAGAGTATATTATATATATATATATATATATGTATAGATATAAGATACATATAAATTAGGTCAAGCATATAGGCCCACTAGCGATAAGTGTGGAAATATTGCAGATTCTAAATCTATAGAATACGAAATACTTAGTGCGAGAATGATGATGAAAAACCAAACATCAAATTAAATTACGAAAAGCAAGCCTCCGTGAAGTACATACTTTACGGCGGGCAACAAAATAACTTGAAGCACACTTTTCACGACATGATAGACAACAGCTACCTATTACCTGTTGTTAAAGCGACGGATTTCCACCTCAACAAAAACAACAAAGTTATCTGTGAAAACAAAGCATGAGAATCTGTAAAGACAAGAAAAACAAGAATACTCATATCGTCCTTAACTGCAGTTTCGTTTTCCTTTACACATTTACAGCAGCTACATAATCTTCCCTTTTAGCATTAAATTTAGTTTCCTTACAAGAAAAACAGAAAATTTTGCCGTAATACACATTTGTAAATATATAGTTTTTATAAAGTTTCTGAATTTCACTTGATTCACAGTAACATCCGACTGAGATTTTTCGTTTTGCTTGTGAAAAACAAAAGTATTTCATTTCACGCGTTTGTGTAGAAAAGGTAATTACTCTGAATGCTATCTCGTCTGAATGTATGCATTTTGAATCCTTCAAGCAATATAATATTTACTGAAACTCAGTTCATCGAAACTATTATCCTGAATTCCCAGTTGCATTACTTTATTCTTAACTACAATTTTCCTGAACTATCTTCGAGTAGAACAGATCCAAATTAAAAATTTCCACATAACTAAAAAGGTGTGGACCGTATTTTCAATTCACCTTAAGAGATGCGCTCAAAAAGGTAATATCGTTTTGTGAATGCTAAGTAAGATATAATAAAATGGTCCCATTTCTCATAATGTCAGCAGGAAAATCAACGGGCTCAAGTGTATGTGTGAACAAAAAGGAGGAAAAACTGCGCAACCCGAGGATGATTATAGTATCGAAAAAATCCATAACATTTTAAGCTCATTTCCATTCCCTTTCAAAAGCAAAAGATTTCTCAAAAATTTCTCATTTCGCTATATTTTCTTGTACCTTTTGATCTTTCTTACTTAATCGTTCCGAAACAATAAAAAGGATTAATCAATTTAATTTTTGAGGAAAATCTGTAACTCCCACGTTTAGAAGTAAATTAAACATTTCGAAATTTATTAACCTGCAATCCGCTACAATATTTACGATAAGATGAAGCAGTACCCTAAGCCAGCTCATTATTCAATCGCGAGTCATATTTTTATCAACGAAAGTGAAGCAGATTAGCTACAATTACAAAAATCTTTGTTCTTTTTGCTTGTCTAATTTTCTGAAATAACATAAAAATGCAGTGACAGTACCGTTTTCTTCATAAAAAGAAAAAAAGGCTCAGAATAGTATTACAAATATTTTTTGGTTTAACAATTGTCCCGATTGTTATTAAACAATTCACCAGAATGCGTCGCAATATCGTGATGTCTTACAACATAGAATGTTACCTGCGCATGCTCAACATATCTGTTTCGTTTTTTAAATAGAAAAGAACCATCTTAAGTTAACTAATCCTTTTTCGATCAGATTTGGCTATCAGCTCAACAACTAAGTTGACTTTTATCGAAGTAGTTGTCAATTATTACTAAAAATAAAAATAAGTGGTGAAAAGTGATTCTTATTGAAACTAAGTAATACAATCTGGATCTGGGAAAGAAACGAGCAACGGTGTTACAAATATCAGGCGAATTTGAATGATGTGACAAGTGCTTAATAATTATTTAGTTTTAGCATGATGAAAAAATGAGCGAAAGTCTGAATACAGCGAAGTGGTCGAGGTATAAAGTAAGTTCCTGCTATAGGTGTTGTTGCATGCTGATGAAATGGAGTAACATAAATTTCAAATAATTTAAACTTCTCTTACAAGCTCCATTACATATCCTCTGGCGCTTCCGGAGGAGTGGGAAGAGGAAGAGATGGAGGAAACGGAGACGAAGAGGAAGCAGAGAAAAATACTGAAAAGTATTAGTTTGGTCTTACCACGGTCATTCCTTTCGGCTGCTGGTTCCAAAGAGGCTTTTCTTTTTATCTAAAACATCGACTAGCTTTTCACTTCTAAAATCCTTACCTAAACTGGAAATGTTTAAAGAAAATTTTTCGTGATTACTTAGGATTTTCATCGATTTGAAAACAAATTGCTTAAAAGTTGTAAAAGTAACGCACTGCTGCTTTACATTCTTCTCTACCTTCAAGAAGACCCTCTTCCCACCACTTTTTAAATGTTTGCTCATAATCTCCTTCGTCTCTCAGTATCTGCTTAACATATATATTTAAAGTGTTAGTTTAAGCCTCTGACCATAAATTTTACCCACGTGTTCAGAGAGCTCTCCGTCTCATAATTAAGTCCTATGTGAAAAAAAAAAAATTTCTAGACGACCTAAACAAAAAAGTATGGGTCGGAAATGATGTCAATAAGCTTATCCTACAGATCGCTGCTGGACTGTACAATGGCCTCAGTAAGCTCATGGCAAGCACTGTTTACGTAATCATCACTGATTGAAAATTTTTCCAAGCTTTAATCACCACATATTTTCTAGTATTTGTGGGGACAGATTTTCTCCTACCGTTTTATTTGCATTTTCGATAGAGTAGTTTTATTTCATTGGAGAAAAAGATTTCTCATTTTACTTCCCTTAAATTTCCTGCGGAAAAACAAAACTGAGCAAAAAATAGCTGAAGATTTTCGTAGACTAGATGGCTCTTTATTACAAATGTAGTGAAAAAAAGTTCAGTACTATTCATTCCATACACATATGTGCACCCATTACACAACCTATGTATAAAAGAGTCTTACAAGACACTCATTTACCAACAAAAATTCCAAACCATATTCGAAAAAATGTTCATCTTCTATATGTATCCAATCTTTTTTATAAAATGGCGCATTCCCGATTTCCAGTCTTATAGGAAAGCTACGTTTTTTTCTCCTTTAACTCTCTCATTTTAAGTATATGTGCATACAATTTTTTATTAGTGTTTTTTGATCGCAACTTCAATTAAGGGGTAGTATTCCTTCAATTAAGGAATAGCATTATCGAAACAATTTGTTAAGAAATTATGAGCTTTTTCCTGATTTTCTCGGTCCTGAACCGTTGAATATATTATCAATCAAATTGTCCAGCAGAGAACTATTACTTCTGTAATCTAAAATATTCGAGTGACCTTACCAGTGATGATGACCCAGAAAACAGTGGACTCCTTATTCATCTTCAAAGATCGGGATAGAGATACACTATAGCTTAAGGTTTACCAACATGTCATATAGCAGCCACAAACATAAAAACTGTTCACAATTATAATTTCCCAAAAAAGTCCGGCAGGTTCCGGTTAATTCTCCCACTGTTTGGTGGTAAGGAGGTTAAAAGGAAAGTTGAGAGACTTGAGGAGTGGGCTCCAAGTATCCAGGTATGCGACTGTGCATAAGAGTTTTGTCACCCGGTATGCGATTATCTACTTTTACAGAAGAGTTGAACATTAAAATCGGTGTCTAGACAGGAACAGATTATGTTTTGTGCTGTTGGGGATTAACCCACAAAACTTTTATGCCATAGTTACATAGCCATAGTAACTTTTATGCAATACCACACATAGGTTGCTGGATCTGTTCTATTACATATAAATCTTTTTTTTCGAATCCATTATTATGTAGTACCGGAAAAAAAAAAACACCGGCAATTGCAGATGTATTTGAAGCGAGATCATCACGAAAAACAACAGTAAATAGCCCCCTATGTCCCAAGAACACCGAAGATCCAGTATTCCAGTAAAAGTAAATTAATTGCTTTTTTCTTATCTTGAAATCAATCACTTAAAAACTTTTATTGATATTAAAACACAAACCTATGTACTGTTTTCCCGAAGAAATTCAACTAAGGATAATTTTCAGCTCATATTTTGTCTTACGTATACTTCACTTAAAATCCAGTTATGCTTAATCCTTTTCTAGATGTTAAAATCAGTGATCCAGAAAAGAGATTTTTTTATGTTAACAGCATTCATCCCCATCTGCTAGAGAGCAGCCTCAAAAGTGTTTTAGTCGTTCGAAGGATATCCTTTCCAATGAACAATCTATATCTTCACAATGTTATTCAAAAAATCCAAAAATCATTATTTAAGATTCACAGACTGATAATTTTTCTACTGATCCATAAGAAATTTCCCCTCTCATACTATAATCTAACAAATATTTAGCGATTTCAGTCATTTTACTCCTGTTCATTTTAGCAAGGCTATTACGTGGGAGGACGTGGCAGTCATTGTAGTGGAAGCATAAAAATACCGCTTCAAAATGCAATCAACACGCGCAAACGAGCAAGCAGAACTTCGCTGTGTGGGCAGGTCATTTTTTGAACATTTTTATCATCAATTCGCGAAAAAAGTGTAGTTCTTTATTTAACTGATGAAACATGCAACTCAGACAGAGCTAGTTGTGCCCAGCCCTTTTTATTGCTAACTAAAAAGTTTCAATTCAAAATAAAAGTATAATTCAATCTCGAAATTGAATTGAAGTTCTAGATCAACAAAGAGATGGGATTAATATTGAAGCTAAATTGAAATTTTACTCTAAAAGAGTGAAATCCGTATATCAAATTGAAGCCAAAAAGAAGTCAATTCTCTATTTTCTCATACTAAACAGTATTTATCACTCGATCACGTAAACTACAGTTTTTTAAGCTTTTCCTCTGTATGACTGGATCACTGCTCAGCTTCAGCATATGCATATGGCTAACAGTATTCAGTCAGGACGTTCAGTGGAGAAGATTGTTATTTGCTGCCGGTGCTGCACTGTGTGCCTTGCTTTTTGCTGTACTTGGAGCACAGACAATACGAAATGCTAAACAGTTCATTCTTTTTCATAAGTTTCATGCCAAAACCTGCTGGAATATCCCTCATCATGCTTCGAAATTAACTACCTAATCTCCCTTATTAAAATTCCATAGCAAAATTCTGTTGGAAAGAAATTCAGTGAAATATCGCATAACAAAATAATTTTGGATAGTTAATTTCGAAGCAGGGAAATCCTCTAGAAAACTGCATATTGTTTAGACCGTGCGGTCCGAAGCGCAGATTTCCTTGGTATAAACTGAATTAAATACAGCGGCTTGAAAAAAAAAAAAAATTTCTGCTTGGCAGGGCAGTATATATAACTGTGTCAATCGTGCAAATGCTATGTCACTGAAGACTGCAGCACTGAATAATCTAACAGTATTAGTAATTAAGTATTCATGGTTCAAAAATCTCATGCTTCAGGATAAAACTAACTTCGTTGTTGTGAAACTGAGAAATTCCAGCACCAACCAAAAATTCATCGTTTTCACTGCATAAAAAGCGGAATAAAATTAAATAGAATGTACGTTTAAGTTTCGAATCTTGTAATACCTACGCATTTCAGATCACTCCCAGAAGTAATACCGAATTTAGCAGCTCGACGCTCAACTATTGTGAAAATATCAAGAAAATCGATGTGTGAGGGCAATTTGAATCAAGAGGAAAGTGGTACTACCAGTTCACAATAACCCTTGAATTCAATACAAGAAAGTGATGCTACCGCAGCGGTCGATCATACTTCATCACTTATACCCAATGTTTAAGAGTTAAAATAAAAAGATTTAAGATAATCGAGGGTAAAGGTACATCATGCATCTCAAACAATGACAGCTAAGAAGGCAGTCATTTCAGTCTAATTGAACAGCAACAATTTGTTTAACTTTTGTCAACCTTTCTTTTCAAAAAAAAGTTCTAAAATGAAAAATTACATTGGAAAAGATTATTTTTTTCCAAGATAACAAAATGAACCAATCCGCCTAAAAACGACTTTCAGTAATAATTAGTTTCAATTTGACCCTAAAAACAAAAATAAGCTACTTCGAGTCATCTAAAGAGAACGTTACCTATTAGCTTCAGTAACAGAAATCAGTAAATAAACCCTTGCTTGTCCCTCACTCATTCGCTCTTTGATAATGTTTAATGGAACTTGATTCAAGACGTTTTGATAGGAAAATTTGAGTGAGTTGAAAATTAGATTGTTCACTTATCCTCCAAAGCATTCACTGCTTGACTCTTTAACTGGTTTGCAGCATGGTTTCCACTACGTTTAGTCCGTTAGTTTGATTTCATCACTGATTAATTGAGGAATTGACAGTTTATTTGACATGATGAGACAATACAACAGCTTGATAACATTCAAGCATAGGAAAGGAAAAAGATGAGTGTTTGTACCCATAATCTGTTTAAATCCTATTCGACAAATGTGATGTGAGTGGTACAAGAGGGCCACATCACTAATATTTTGTAAACTATGAAATTTAACATCTGAACGAAAAGAACTTTTAGCACTCAGCATATGTGGCGTAAGTCATTTCCCAATTCGTTTCCTAGTTGCTTTATCAATCACCCTCACTATTGTACAATAGTGCTGAATGATTACTAAAAGATCTGAACCGTTTTAATGACTTTTATCGTTTTTATTTATCTAGTTTGGATTTTCAAAATCTCGCATACTTAATTCATTCTACGGATTTTTGAGTTTGACTAATGCTAGATTTGTGTATTAATATATGAACTCAATGACCGCTATAAGTACAAAGTCACTAAAGACTTTTGTGTGCAAAGATTTTTTTTTCGCGTAGGAGAAATTTTTGAAGCTCTTTCAACACCACAATTAAATTCGATTTAACTAGAATCAGGTCTAAATTCTTGAATAAATGAGACCGAAAATGTGAGAGCAGCTTACACCAGATTCAATAACCCTTTTTATCTATATATAAAAAGCTTGAATTCTGCTAACTATTACAATGTCATATATCCGCGAGATAATGAGAAAAGTGTTTTGGAAAAAAGTATCTTAAAAATTGAAAAATATCAATTTCTGCTTCCACAGAAAACCCATCAGTTTCCTCAAGAAACAAAGGAGCATCAGTTTTTCATGGCGGCAAAACGAACTGAAGCTTCAAATGTAGTGGGAATTTCCATTAAAAAAAAAACATAGCTACAAAATCCTCAGAATCAAGAGTTTAATCCTCTATTGTCAGTTCCAGTGGTAATTTCATTCGATGCAAATGGGTGCAAGAAGTAAACTAAGCAATAAAAAAATGATATGACTGAATTCATCTGGAGTCGAAATCTAGCTAATAAAAGAACTACAGAATTCGTTTTGTCACGAAAGCGTGGAACAAATCAGAACTGGAACAATGCGATATAAGGTTAAAAAAATCCACAATATTTACTAGTATTCTTACAAGAAAACACTTCATTCAATTTATCTGTAAGCTAATTAATTTGAAGCAAAATAGCACATGGAAAGAAAAATTTTTTATCAAAATGAGAACCTTGCAAGAAAGACACTTAGCTTATAGATATAAAAAATAATGATACTATATCATCAATGATTTAATGATTATAATAACTTTGGTATCTTCACAATTGCTATTCAATGAAACATGCAAACAAAAGCAAACAATGGCTGAAATCATGTTAAAGCATGTTGGTGAGGTAAAGGACAAAAATAGACTAACCTTTTCACTGTCGATACCAACAATTGTATTCCTCAATTCGGTGAACTGTTCCTGAACGTAGCGCATCTTCGCATAACAACCATCAATGTGTTCACCAATAAGATCTCTTTCAGCCAGATCTTTTGCCTTGATAAATTGCTGTTCCTGAATTAGAATTTATCATACAAACTCTACTTTAGATTACCGCCTTCAGAAAATTACATTGTTTTTATCTGCTTGCCCAGTACGTGGTGGCAGATTATTTGAATTTTAGACCAGGTTTTTGACTCATTAAGCACAAACTTTGATTCCAGGCCCCATTTCTATGTAACTATATCGGTAATGTAAGTTCTATTAAACAAAAGCAATTTCTGTTAACTCAGTAATGTCAACAAAAATCGTTTTTAACAAGAGTCGCATGAAGCAATCAAAATTTGAAAAATTTTCAGGACTATATGACGTACCAGCCGTTGAATCTCTTCGGCCAGAACGCGCTTCTCAGCTACAGTTTTCTCCAGCTCGTCTTCCATCTTGGTGATCGCCTGACGCTGGCTGATTCTGCGACGTATCTGTAATTGCAAGAGACTACAAATATAATGTTTTGATGAACTGCAAAAGATACTTATTATATAGGAAATATTAAAATAAAACAAGGGCCTGGAAAACTCACATTTTTCTCAATAGCCATCCACTTTGCTTTCGCCTTGTTCACTTCTAACTTTGTTAAAGGAACTGCCCCACGCCCATAACGCAATGGTGCTGGTCGCATGCTCCGCTGTATTCCACTTCGTTCAGTTTTACGATCATAAGCACTAAGCTAAATTTTCCACCATCAAAACGATTCATAAAATACATATCCAGCATAAAAGTTACCGATCTACTTGCCTGACGAGCCTGCTGGCGTAAGCGATTAACTTCGTCAGATGATCTTTTCAGGAAGTCTTCTCGTTGACGGTCTTTGTTTCGAAGTTTTTGAATCAAATTGTCTTTCTTCCTGAAATTACTGCCTTAAGTTATGAGTGCAACTTATTATAGTGAAAAGTTTTATTGAATTGTAAGCACAGCAAAAGACTTTTAGGAAATGATATAGAAGATAAACAAGCAGAACAAATTAAATAAATGCAATCGAAAACTGGAGTTTGATAAGATTGTATTGGCAAAATGACCTAGATTCTTTTTCTAAACCAGCTAGCTTCTTCATGTTTGCTAATTCAATTGCTTTAGCACGTCTAGCTTCTTCTTTGATTCGCTGCATCAGTTGAACCTGCATCAAACATAAATTTCCATTACCGGTATATAGAGCCAAGACGCTTTAAGCCACTAAAATTTTTTGAGAGCTTTAGGAAATAAAAAATAACTAGGTATTACGAATCTAAAAAAAAGCCATACTAATGAATTTCGACCTCCACTAAATTTACCTTTGTTTTCTTCAATTCATTTAGTTCGGTCCTCAACCGCAAAAGCTGTTGTTGTTCTGCAACTTGTTTTGCTTGCATTCGGCGATGTTCTCGCTCAACAGACTGCAATTTCCTGAATTCATCACGCATTGCGGTTAACTTCTTCTCGTAATTTTCGCGAATCTTGCGAACTTGTTCTGCATCAATAACTTTCTGTGAGTGTTTTGATGCTGAAAAACGTGTATAATTAAGGAAAACAATTAACATCTTTACAAAGATAAAAGAGTTAGTGTACAAATTCTGTGGAAATGATTTTAATAAAGACATAAAGATCTCATAAAGAGCAACAGCACTTAATGAATACTGCAAAATCCCGTTATATCGTTCTATTTTTTTTAAGATAAAAATTTGAATAGCTGTTCTACCTTAGTAAGATGTGGAATACATTCATCTAATACGAATGCTCGTTGCAATCCTAGAATAATTATACATTCACTCACCCATTTCAGCTAATACTCGATCACGCTCCACTTCCATTTCATTTATCCGTAATGAGAGTTCTGCCAACTTCTTCTCATACATGATTTGGACCGTAAATTTTCAAGTTTTTAAGATAAAATCCGTACAACATATAATATTATGAAATGATTAAAGAACAAATAACCCGAATTTTGAATGAAAGAAGAGAAAGTAATTAAACCTCGGCAAGACGCCGCTCACTTTGCTCAAGCTCAATGACTAAGCGTTCCTTGATGGATATTTCCGCTTGCAAGTCGGCGAGATCATCTCTGAGTTTGAAACATTCTATAAGCGAAAAGATTTTACACCAATCTCGAGATAAAGTGAAGTTGCTATTCTGAGGGGAAAAAAACTTCTAAATCATGTGAAAGTAGTTATGTGAAGCTGTAAATTAAGATAAACCTGTAGACTTCAACGACCGAAAAAATACCTTCTTTCCCTTGAAAACTATACTTTCATAAGTGAGCGATACTAAATTCGCAATGAATGACAAGAACTCTATAATGATAAAAGGATATCACCAGTTTCCGCTTCATTTTCCACTTCGATGTCATCATCATCTTCATCCTTCAACTCTTCATCGTCCATCTCAAAGTCATCCATCACCATAATAGATTTCATTACACCACCCGCATTTATCTTCATTTCATCATGATTTAATTTCTCCTCCTCATGTGAACCTTAACATCAATGAATAAAGGTGTAGCAAACATCTAATGAAGACAACCATCCAGAAAAACGCCAAAATCCCATTAAAAGACCTGTAGTCAAAAAATCATTAGTATCAGCAGTTTGATTATTCAGAATTATTTGTGAAGGACAGAAAATGTGCATAACAAGCTTACTTTCCGTTATACTTTGTTTCATACGCTTAATATCCGCTTTTGCTTCCTGGATCAATGAGGAAGATGGAGTGGATGTTATGACTCTTTCTGCATCATTACCCGATGAACCGTTGATTATATCAGCACAGTTGGCTAAATAGTCCACAGGCATTCTTGGTGTGTTATTCGCTGCCATCGCTTTCAAACGATTCACTTGCTGGTGCAATTGTTCATTTGTTGCGTGCGACTCCATTAATGCACATCTAAATATTTCTGTCTTGATTTGAATAACAGCTTATAATTCAGCATATGTATTGAATGAATGAAACTAGGATTTTTTCATATAGGAATTTCATTTTCGAGAGATTTGAAAAGGAAAAGGTGGATATTACCTCAGGGATTCGAGTTCATCAAGGTAAACGCGCACACTATTACCAAATGCATCGTCTTCTTGTTTTCCTCCTTCGTTAGAAGTGCTCTCTACAAAAATAATCTATGAACTTTTATAATTATGGAACTTATTCAACTGTGTGTTTCTTTAAACGCTTACCAATACATACTTGCCGATTCTGATTCTCCGGAAAACGCATTCTTGAATGTATTTCATCTTTTTCGGCTAACAGCTGAACATTCCGAGCTCTTAGCATTTCAACCGTTTCTTGTAAGGCCTTGACCCGAATTCTCAACTGACTTACATCTGCCTGGAGCAAAAATTCTGATCGCTTTCTCAATAAAATGAATTAAATCCAAGAAATTTTAATAACTTCTTTAAAAAGAATCGACGAAAAATTTTAACATCCTGCTATATTTAGAAGTCTTATTCCGTGAATGTGTTAGATCCAGCTTATAAGGCTGGATAAGCTTCCCACTACTAATCTTGAATATCATACAAACGGAAAACTATCGAAAACTTTATTTCTTTTAAGTCTTCTATCCACTAATTATTTATGATCAAACCTGTAACAGTACATTCTCTCTATACTGATCGTTGAAGGACTCGACACCATCTGAAACTGTTATCCGACCCTGTAAAATATTTCATCTACTAAACTTCTAGAGGTATTTATGAACTTGGAGTACAATGTTTTCCCTATTTTTTAAAAAACAAAAAACAGTGGTAAATTGAGCGCCCACGTTAAATTCATAAGTTAAAATATACAGCAGTACAATAAAACAATAACCTGTTTGAAGTCTAATAATTCAGCCTCTAATTCGGCTATGCGCGAGCGCAAACAACCAATTAATTTGCTTGACTTATCTTGATTTGCTATAACCTAAAAAGTTAACTGCACAAGTTAATCATATTCTAAATCCATAAATTGATATGACTAATTCTGTCTGAGCCAAAGAAATAAAATACCTTATTTTTGATATCTTTCGCTCGATTAGCGTATTTCAAGGTGTTTAGTGTTTCTACGTAATCGCAATCCGATGGACTGATACAGGCAATCATTAAAGTTCGACTAAAAACCAGTTCGACTATATATATATCATATTACAACACTGATTTCATAGTGTTCATTTCACCAACAAAATTCATGAAACTCACCTGTTCCCACCAAGTGAATCTTGAAGTAGACGAGTCAACTTTGAATCTCGATACGGTATATGTACTACTTTGTCTGGTGTTGTGGGCGTAGTTAATGCACATATAACATTACCCAATGCTAACTGAAATCAAAACAAATGCGATACCTGATAAAGTATTCTTTTCGTGATAGTCCTTACCGTCGAGTATAAAAAACTAATCAATTTTCTGAATTTTACGTATTAAAAAAATAAAAAATAAGTTGATACCAATCCAAAATTGATATTAATGCCTTCTTTTATCCGATCTCCAGTAGCACCAGTGCGTTTCAAACGCTCCGAACCAGCCAAATCAACGAAATGGAATTTGGCACTAAGAAGTTCCAGTTCAGTAGCAGGAGGCTCTTCCGATGCGGAAACATCGTCACTTTGTTCAGCAACAGCTTGAAGATCAAAACAAGGCTGAAATCAAAAACCTTACACTGAAGTACATAGTAATCGGGTGGATAGCACTTTCGTGGATTTTATAAGCTAAACGATGTACTTTGACAATAACTGTCCGTTGTTGTTTAATTATCACTGTAAAAATGGCATGTGAACGCGATGACTGCTCATTCATATTGGTTGACGCAGTTTTACGATTCAGCGCACCATTTTTCAAGACCTCTAGTGTCTAAAATCGAAGAAAACATGAAATTCCTATCTTGGAAAACATTTTTAAAATGTCAACAAATTAAAATATATAACTTACTAAAATAGAGAGCACTAAAGAAATCCTGTTCTAAAAAGTACTTCGAATATTTTGAAAACTGATTTCATCAAGTCATGGTTCAGTTCAAATATTATTAAACCTGTGAAGGACTTGTTACTGTAACTCGCGTTACACCATTTAAGAAGATTTCGCCCTTAGCGTCTTCATGAATACGAAGGCCTGTAGGTGGTCGTTCATGGCTTAATAAATCAATTATATCTTCATTGTACAACTGAAAAAAAAAAGTATTTTTACCCGAAAAATTCGATTATGTGAATGACGAAACAGAACAATAGCTGAAGAGAAACTGAAGATGAAAAAATTTTAATTTGGTTTGCACTTTACTAAGCATTTCCTTTGGAAGTACCTCGACGAACTGCGCAACAATGTCAAAACAAGGCTCTACGAAACCTTGCTCTAGAGCTTGTTGTTTGCGGGAATCCATTCCAGAAAAAAGATGCCTAATGGCGCGTGGGACTATACCTACATCTATTTCGTTCATTACATCCATCATATCAAACGCTGTACCCATCGTATAAGTTTTACCGCTGCCAGTCTGTAACACATTGCATTAGATTGCTTGGAAGTTTATGAACTCTCGTGCGGACTTACAAATAACCACGCATTTCTACAGATAACAGATGCATCTGATAAATTTAATTAAAAAGTGACAGGAAATCATCGCGTTGGATAAAATTAATGTAACGGAAGTGAAGCAGCACTACAGTAAGTCTATATAGTAACATGATTTCGATTTCGTGATTGAAGTGTACTTGGATATATATCTCTGTAAAACAAGTAACACACCTGACCATAAGCTAGAACAGTTGCATTGAAACCTTCAAAAGTTCCTTCGATCAAATTTTTAACACAATCATCATAAATTTTTTGTTGGTGAGTTCCAATATCAAAGGCATGATCAAATGTAAAGCTCCTCTCACCACCAATTGTTACCTGTAAACAAGACAGCAATTAACTTTTATGCAAATGAACCTTAATAAATCAGCTGCTACATTTCGCATATATAATAAAATTATGTGTTACTTCACGCGAATTTGTGCGGTCAGATACCTGTGCTTCTTTCTGTAAAACATTTGTGCAAACGTGACTGTTTTCAACTTTCTCTCGTTCAGATTGCGGCCTCACCCTGCAAATAAGTTAAAGAAATGCTGAGAAGTGCAAGTGGAACAAATGATTTATATACTATTTTTATTTGTTTGCCTTTTCATGAAGGTTCAGCTACTAGATGCCCTATTTCTGCAGTTATGGATACAAATAAAAAGATAACTTTGCAGTATTCTAGGATGTTACAGGCAGAAATTTTCCAACAATCCTTTCAGTAAAGCTTTGAAATTTACAACATTTTAGCCTTCAACAATAGTAATATTAATGACAGAAAACACCAGTAAAATAATGGAAAATAGTACCTTACTGCAACGCGTACACAACTTGGGTCACTCATTTGCGTGCAATCCGCTTTCTATCAATACTGAAAAATGCCTGTAACGACATGTGTTTTCCATATTTTTTAAAACTGTCTTCTAACAAACTTAAAGTTCACCTTAATTTGTTTAACGGTTCAACAAATGGGCATTCAATATCACGGTTTTTATTGATGAAAACAGAAGTCGAGTAATTTCCAAAATTGGAAACAAGAAATACATAGAAGAAAAGCTGGCACGTCTCAAAGTCTTCGTTGGATAGTGCACGAGATTAATGTCCAACCATGGAGAACGAGATAAAGTCGTCCGAAACAGTAGGACAACAGAAAAGCTGAATATGTATGCTGAACAAAGTGCATCTACAGTTTAACTTATAAAATCAACGGAGCGGTTGGAGAGTTTGAACCCTAAGTTACTTCCAGAAAAACCACTTCATAGTAATTCGTGCTAACCAGAGTACACTATATTGATGTCGTACTATAAAATACTGAAATAAAATGAATGCGGGAACGTAATAACAGACTAATTGCAGATGATCCCTGATCCCATACACTGGCCAACAATGTATTGAGACTTCACTATGAATGGCTTTTCAATTTTACTTCAGTCTTTATTCAGGAGTAAAGAGTAGGGTTGTGCATGGAAAAGGAGAGCGGGCTCTGTGGTTCTCACAGTTACTGTCACCATGTCTTCCAGTTTCAACCGACTGCTTTTCAAACGTCTACGTTGACCATACTAGACGCACTTCCAGATCTATCAAATCACTAGTGGCTACTCTGACCATTCTGGCCACTCTTCTGCTTACTACTTCAACTCTAACCCTACCCTGTCTTGCTATATCTACCACCTTCTAATGCTGCCACTTCCCTCTCGTTTCATCTCTTCAGTTAAAGCTTTTCCTGTCACTCTTTCCAACCACGTACTGTCTCGCTGCTGACATTATATTTTTTTAACCTTTCTGCGATATTATATTTCGCAAGAAATAACACCCCTCGCTTCTCTCCAGTCTCCCTTGTATCACACAGACAACACTTGGAGATTGTGAAAATCGGTTCAGCGTTTCCCGATCCATTTTTCTGCGCAACAAAAGATGCAGCAGTTTCGTCACCTTTGAAATAGTTCCTACTTCATATGGTGGTACTCTTTCCGGATTGTCAAACGAAACAACTTCAAAAATCGTAAGTATACTTCTTCCCTCAGCTTAAGGAATATCTGGCGCTCAGGTCACAGTTGAACCGTGATTCCTGTGAAAATCTTCCGTAACAAAGTTGTAAAGAATGACAATATAGAGAAATGGATTGTTGCAAACTGCGGAGAATTTTTTTACGAGCAATCAAAGTATTTGTTGCTTAGAATATATTCTAGGCAAAGGATTCATCGCACTAAAAATAAAACAAATGTTTTCCCATACTTAAAACTGTTGAATCAGTTACCTAATTTTCAAATCGTGCGAAAGTGTTTTCTGTTTGATGCTGGAAATGTTGTGTGCATCCGGTAGGCTAATTTCCATACAAATTCTTGCCTAATTTTGTATGTAAATCTCATATTAGCCGTTTTTACACGTAACTCACATCCAATATCAAGGGTTACTTCTTCCATCCGGACTCAGTTTTGAAATCAGTTTTATTACAAGCTCCAACGATCGGTAGTTTCCCCGTTTCCATTATTTCTTCAATTCAATTCGATTTTTATATCTTCAATTCGACCTCTAATTTGACACATAAATTTTCCGCTTTTTTTGACCCATAAAGAATTTATTCATAATTGTATTTGTATTCTCTGTATTCGCTAAGGAAACTGTTACCGTCATCAGTAAACCTTTATCAATCATTTTGCGTCCTGTGTCAGACAACATAAAAATTTCAATCAAACCAGGCGACATTTTTTCACTATATGGACTGCTGAATGTTAAGCGTTGACAAAGCTGTCCTTTCAAATGACTGAAAAATTTTTGCTGGCAACGATATAACCACAAATAGGGCAAACCCAGGATGACATTCATCAGGCTGTAAAACCTTTTAACGTCAAATTTTCCGTTTAGGCTATTAGTGATTTAAATAATGAATTGCTGCGTAGGAAAGGATGAATCTGGAATATTAGTAATATAGAAGTAGAAGTGGTGTTATGGCGATTGCAAATTAGTGGGCGAAGCGGGGCAGAAACAGGCTACCAAATCGCAGATCACATTTATTTTAAAAATTTGCTGGTTAAAAAATGTCTTTGCAAAAATCGATCATTCTTGCTGCATCTTTCTCCAACTGCACCCCTAACTATCCATGATCTGTTCAGCAGCGTCCATTGCTACCTTTATTGGTTCACATATCCCCTCTTTTGTTATTATAAAAAAAAAAGAAAAAAGAAAGGTGGGGAATTATACGAAAAAATAATAATGAAAGAAAAATAATGAATGAAATAGTAATGAAAGAAGTGAATTCCACTTTTTTTCCCCGTCACTTTCTGTATATTCAGAAACTGCGCTTTCTAAATGTAGAACTTCGCGTTTTTCAACGGACCTAATTAGGTAAAGATAAGTGAAACGACTTATAAAGCAATGCAATAAGTAAACAAATAAAACAGTATCTGTCCATTTCTTCGGAAATTTTATGAACAATGAGAAGGATAAAGGAAACAAAAACAAAAGTATGTGATTCCTTGAAGTTACAAATCAGCAACTAATTATCTTATGGTAGTTCCACATATATTTCATGCCACTCATCATTAAATGGAATAATAGAAAACGGAGAGATAGAGAGATGAAGCGATTGTAGAAGGAATACTTTGAAATCAGCGCTCTCACAGACTGCTGAATGAATACAATGGAACGAATGTTTTCTAACAAGCAGTCATATACCGGGATAGATGATGCGTAATATTTGAACCAGTTTTTGATAAATTGAAATTTTTCAATTCAATCTTCAATCTTAAAGGAATGTGATAACAGCTCAAGTGACGGGAGATCCATGAAGAACTCTTCATTTTATAGGATGAATTTCAACGAATATCATCAGGAGAAAAAGGAGAAATGGTGATACGATATAAATTATAACTGGAACAGTGTGACACATAGGAAAACGTGTCCACTGCGTGACTTGGTGTTCATTGTGATTGCGGTGGATACTTTCATTTTTACGAGAGTGTGCCGATTCCTTACGGGAAATTGGCAAAAGTCATAGGAGGAATTACAGGATAACAATATTTCTTCCGCCACTAGGAAATAAGTTGTATCTTCGCCTAGCTTTTTGTTACAGTTATTAAGTTTTAAACTTACTATTTGTGAGCTAGAATTGATGCCTATGTTGATTCCAGGAGTTACGTATGCACGAGCAAGCTAACAGAAAAAATGATGTGAGCGTGAACAAGCCTGTTGCACCTCAGAGAAATACTAATGGCAATCTTCTAAATAGAAAACGGATTTTTCATGGTACGATCAGCAATTCTAACAACTTCCTTGACAAAAGCTAACGCATTGAAGCAGGAATAAAATGCTACTCTCGAATGTTAGTTTTCTTTAACTATAACGCACATACCATTTATGATATTCTGGACAGGTAGAAATAATTTGAATAATCTACTCAAAGCTCCAGTAATTTTCATATGGAGTCGCTAACTGACTTAAGAGGTAGAAAACTGTAGAGAATAGGTGGGGGGATGGAAATCTTAAATTTCGAAAGTGAATAGATTATATAGAAAATAAATAAGTACAGTACGGGTAATAAATGAGTGGTTGCACGAGCAATCTTCGTCAATTGCGCAACAACGTGCAGACGATAGTACACTTAAAAATTTCCCCAAGATGTCATGAGCATTTTTACATCAAGTAGATACATTAATCAATCTTGGAAAGTGTAGGACAAATGACTTTATCTATAGCTTACATAATTTGTGTCACTCGGCAAAAAAGATCATTAATATGAGCAAGCTGTGAATCAATTAATAGTAGTTAATTCAAGAAATCCGAATTCTTAAAATCAAAAAGTCCATGTTTCGAGCATTAAAACCCAAATAATAACTTTGAGGTCGCTTATTTTTGCATTAAAAATTGTTATATTAATCATTTTAGTTCCTTAAGAAAAAACTGTGGTTAGAATTCAGCTAAAGATTTTGCAAATCAATATTTTCTTATCAAAATAATTAAAACTGTGTGGACACACAGAATATTACCTTTGTCGTTTATGGCAGAGATGTACACCGGGCACATTTATTAACTATTTGCTTTTTATTAACTATTTGCTGTTATTAACTATTTGCTTTAATCCGCTCATTGATAATCTGGCGGTGCAATGAATATGTTCATATATACGACAAATAACTTTGCACTTCAGAATGCAAAATTAGTTTTATTTTCTTTTAATTAACATTAATTCAGATTTGAACCACTCGGGTTACCAGAATAATTTTTCAGAAGTCCTCCCATTATGCCATTTTCTTTACCATATCATTTTCAACACATACAGTTACTGTTATATTCAGAAAATACGAAAATTTTGGCGTTTAAAAATGACTAGATTGTTACAGGAAAATAAGACTGTCATGCATAACATCGAATTATTTCTTCAACAGATTTACGTTTGAAATCAGGTACGGTAGCGTTTTTGGCTGGAAATCCAACCGGTAAAAGAAGAAAAACTTCCTCGTCCGATGGCCTTTTTAGATGTTTTCGAATTTTTTCACCACCGTATAGTGGATACGTGACTGAAGTAGCTAGCCCTGCGTCCTGGAAATATTTTTGGCTTCTCTAAAAAAGCACAAAAATCCAAATAATTGTTAGCAACGAATTAATTAACTTGCCTGCCAGTTGTTCACTCAGTCTCGAAAATGCAACAAAAGGAACACATGAATAGACGAGATAAGACTGGAGCATATTTTTTTATATAAAAATTAAGAAGTGACCTGAAGTGCTGCGATTAAAATGCCAACTGTTATACCGATACTTATTTGATTGTAATATGCTGAAGTTAACTCATTTGAACCATTGATCAAATGAGCCTAAAATTTGAATAGTCAGGTAAATAACTGAAACACATTTTGCAAAAACTAATTGAATTTAATCATTCGATAATTCACGCAACTAAGAAAGTAAAATATATCAGAATAAATTTCTTACTGGTAATGAACGATAAAAATTTGAACACGATTGAATTTTTAAATAAAATTTTGATGTGAAAAAGAACGAAATTCAGATTTTCTATGACTCCATTTCCAAAGCACTTTTATCATGTTATTTTAACCAGGTCTTATTAAAACTTCGTAATATGACAGCTGATATCAAATGCATTAACATTATGCTTTCAAATAAAGCGAAACAAATTAATTGCAAATCCTACTTGTTTCATAACCACAATGAGATGAGGAGCTTCAGTTAGATATGGTTTGGACCATATAACTTTCAGTTCTGCTATATCCAGCACCCAATCAGCTCCCATTCTGAAAAAAAAAAAAAAGCACTCTTATTACTGAAGGATATCATTTCTCTTTCGATGATATAATAAATATAAGTTTGAACATTAATAACTCAGACTGAATCGGACTTTCGCTTTTTCATTTTCGATCCAACATGGATTCAGATGCGTCTGTTAGAATGATTTCATTGACTTGCTGCCCAAATATATCGACGTCTTACGGAGAGAAAATTTTGATTTTCGATTACTTAGATATGGAGGATCCATTAGAATCCCTATGAATCTTTGTCGTGGATTCAGAATAATCTATTATGTGGGATAATTTAAAATTTAAATAAGTTCATAAGTTTCCAGAAACTTTTTGCTATAAGTGTTTTGTTCTTCTTCCTCAACAATCTTTCTTATTGCAGCTTTCAGTTTATAGCTACTGACTATACAAAACATCCATGGCTGCGAATTTCCTGCACTCGGTGCGGTACCTAAAAAATTTTCAAAAATGTCAGCAAATTTATCTCTGTCGGATTTCTTGAATTTTCAGTTTTTTGAATTCCATTTTGAAATCTCAATCAATCCATTCACACTTATACAGATTAACTGTTCTTTGGCATTCTGTTTTACATATTAATTATTTTTACGGATTTAAAAAGTGATTAATTTCAATTTTGATGATTTTCGTACCTGCTGATTTGATAATATTTTGAATCAGTTTCGAAGGTACTGGTCGAGGACTAAATTCTTCAATACATCGCCGCATCTTCATATTCTCGTAGAACAGCTGAGACCTTGGGTTTACTTTTAAATTGAAATTTGAAGGTTAATGGAATGTCCTTAGATTTCGTATGTGGAGTACAGGCGGGTAAGTTATTAGTTTAAAAAAGTGTAGTGGTGGAGAAGCAAGAAAGATAAAGAATCAAAAATATGCGAGACGCTTCCATGAAATTCGGTCTGCATAATTTATTGTAGCTATAGCTGAGTAATGCTGGCATACGAAAAGCGTTTTCGGATTCCAAATGAGTATCTGTCTAAATTGATTAAACCTTGGGAGGACTAGTTTAATTAGCGGGCAAATCAAAACGGAATACTTCGATGACTAACAATATGCATTCCCTGAGGTCCAGCTAAAATGAAGTTTTGCCATTACTGTGAGATATTGAAAACATTTTAGTAGGCAAACTAAATTACCTCAGCAAAGCTTCATCGTCATGCAGACACAAGCGATGGTATAGTGCCTTCTTGACACTGAAAACCTCTTCATAGTTCATGGCACTTTCGATAACATCGCCTATCTATTAAAATTAAATTTTCTGAAAATTTAGTCAGAGCAGGAAATAGTACCTAATTTCTGTTTCTGAAATAATAATGCATGCTGAGAATATAATTATGACTTTAGAAATTTGATAACAATATTGGTGTCAGCATATATTAAAAACTAACACCTGTTTGTCAGTCATTCGTGCTAGTGGAATGAATTTCCGTTTCTGGTGCGTTGTAGCCATACTTTGTTTTTGGATTTTAGCTTTTCGAAACAGTGATAAAAGTTGGGCGACGATAAATGCGACCACAAATGTTAAACAAAGCACGTTGGTGCATGCATGTACAACATCCCATCGCCAGTTTCCTTCCGTCAACATCTGCAATATTATGAGAAAATTTGCTGCATTTAATTCAGAATCTAAATGTTATCTACTGATCTCTGACTTATAACTTTTGTCGAATTTATAAAGTAGTAGGAAAAGAATTGGAAGAACAAATTTGGCTAGCTTCAGCGATCTGGAACTCGGTACGCACATTATTTTTATTCCTTGATTTCTGTTAATATTTAGCAAATTGTAAATAATTATCGAACACAAAAAATGCATCCTTAAGCGAAAGAACTTAACCTAACAGTATCAATTTCGTTTTTATCATAACCCTTGAATGATTTTTTTCAAATGAAAATGGTGACCTGTCTACCTAGAATGGTTAATTTTGACAGAATAAGACTTTGTACGTTTGAAATATCTGAGGGTTGAATTTATTCAGATATCAATATGTGTTTAGAACATTCAATGACGGTTTTGGGTATAACGATCATTTGTATGTACGAGAATATATGAAAATTGCACTAATTTATATATTTCATTTTTGTGATGAAATCTAGAAAAGATTTATAAAAAGATGGACTTTAAAAAAGAAAAGTGTTCAATTGAAAGACGAAAGAATGCAAGTGAGGATGATGACAAAAAAGCTCCTCGATTCGTATTATAATTCTTAATATTTAAAATTTAAATCATGGCAAATTTTAGTGAACAAGAAAAACAGAAAGCAGAACACATGTACTGGAAAAAAGTTCGCTTTGCAAGAGCATTATTTAGAAACGTTTATTTTTCCAAATTTCAACGAGTTATTTATTAAAAGTCCAACCGAAATAGAGAAAGTTATGTTTTCAAAGCATATTGCATTGTTTTATTACTCCAAGCACGTGTGAATTACCAAAGTGCCCAAACTGCTTGTGCATTTAATAAAGTGTAACTACAGGTAATAGCATCTTCAGACCGGATACAGTCTACCGTCCCGAAGGAAGAGAGTCCTGCTGTGAGCTGTTTAATCACTCAGGTTACTACTATACTTGCTAACTGGACTTCTCGTGTCGTAGACTGTTTTAGCCGACTATTACGTGTCAAGCTTTTCTACTTGGTTGGAGATTCCAGGATGTATGTTACACTATATTTGAGCACATCCTAGACGTTGCAAGTTCGAGATGAAAATTAGGAAGTTTTAATTCAATTTCAGAAACTATTCTTGCGGAGAAAATTATTTTCACATAGTTTTAAATCATTTCTCTCCAGATGATTGAATTTCTCATATTTGAGAGATAAGATGAGTGGGTGGGGGGAGGATTAATAAAGGCCAATAGGATAGGAGAAAAATTCATATCAGTGAGGACAAAATATTGACATGAAAAAATACTAATATACATTGCGCAGTAAGTTCTTTTCCGCCGCATTAAAGTTAGGTAAGGAAGTAATGCGAACAAACTGAGAAAACAAGTAAGCTCTGCGTATCATGTCATCGAAATGAAAAAGAAAAGGAAGAAAGACAAAGTAAAGCTTGCGATAACAGTGTTGCTATCTTCCTCAACTTGGATCATAAGGTTGGCTAGGTGTGTCCTCAATAATTGAATGATATTCTAATTTAATACGGCGGAAAAGATATTCTCATTTAACTCATTGTTACGATGACAAGTCACCGTATCAATCATTGGTTTTTGGTCTCTGTTTATAACAAAAGTATTATAATAAAGTATTGAGATAGGTTTCATCACTTCTAAAACATGTAAAAAGTGATAATTTCAAAACAATTTTGAGTAATTTCACTATTTGTATCCATCATTACCTTAACGTTTCCTTGATATTCAAAAGCATTTTCATTAAATGTGAATTTAAGCGATCCTAGCAATGCTTTTTTTCCAAATTTAAGCAACTCTTTGAATAGAAACATAGAGATATGCTTTAGTGACGGTTCATATGAAATGTTTAAATTTAAGAATTTTTCAAAAACAGCAAAATTATGAACTACTATCAACTTATAACTTAGAAGATATTTACTCGAGAGAAATGTGAAATTGAGTTACTTTTTGCGAACTGGATTGATGGGTGGAATAAGAAGAGAGGGATGTAAGGAGAACAGAGCGTAACGACCATCGATGTAAGCGAGAATAAGTTGGAGTTGATGAACAGTAGTTGTTTAGAGAGAGACATGTGGATATGCACGCTCGAGCTTGAACCATCCACGCCAGCATATCTATTGATGCGCAAGAATAAATTGCACATTGTAATAGTGTACATTACATCACGACTCCCTCTATTCGCACCTGTTCACATAACTTTAAACAGTAACTAGGAAATTAAAGGAAAAATTATTTCCGCAAAAAGAGTTTTTATTCCTAACTGTGTATCTCTTTTGCTTTTCTTAGCTTGCACTTCCTTTTATATATCTTTTTCTTTCCATCTCTTTCTCCCTTCGATGAAGAAATTGTACGAACTCATTAAAACAATATTTTGTTTGCTTGAGTCCCATTTCTAGGTTCCGTTTTGAATACACTCTTTGTCCCTGTGGATCTCACTTTCCAGTGTCTCCCTCCCCTTACTTTTTTTACTCATACCTCTCTCAAAGCAGATGACGTCACATATTTTATCGATCGGTTGTCAAAAAAAATTTGCAATAATTTTACTTTAACCTTGTTGAACGCTAAGCAGTGAAATGTCCCGTGTCAAGCACTTTTATTTTTCTTTAGAAATTTCTTCATTAAAAAAATGTTAAAATAAAAAATGTTTGAACTGCTGCATTAATTTACGGTAATTTTTGAAGATTTTAGCATATTTCGAAGTGTATTAACTATTCATTCAACGAGTAACTTAATACTCAAAAGGTTCTGCATTGATCTGTTATTTAAAAATGAACCTTTATCAGTGCCGTCCACTTCTGGTAAGCTCTTTTTTATCACCTGACTGTCTTTTCAAACTCCATAATTTATGAGTGCGGGAAAGATGCAGTAAAGATGTAATGATTCACCGTTTCCATTCCACTATTCCATTTCCATTTCTTGATCAGAAAAGTCCATTTTATGCAAGATTCAGGTATGCTATGATAATTTTAATGGACTAGACTTTGGTCATGTACAAAATCTGCTTATCTGGATACTTTGTCCTGCAGGAGAATGATTATAGCTGGGCAATATCAAAGCACAGTGTGGTATATCTTAGAAGTGTCCTAGATGCTTCAGTTGAGATGAACGAATGCCTGATAGGTTGATCCATTGTTAATCAGTGGATGAATTAGAGATAAGCATGGTGACTTGATGATTCTGATGAAATTTGATACAGCCTAACTGTTCAAAGTAAAGGTTACCCGGAAATGCGCAAAGAATAACAGCATAGAAGCGCCTTTTCCATAATGATATTATGGAAGAAGGCTTATCATCTTAGTGATAAGTAAAATATCCAATTTAGACAGTGTGTCAAGAATTCAAAGCTTCCTGAACCCTCATCTTGGATTCTTTCATGTCAGTTAAAACTTAACTGAATGAAAATCAAACAACCAATAAGGACAGACTACTTCAGGACCGAAAAAATAAGGAAAAGGAATTGAAATTCAATTCTCCGAAGGAACTGTTCTGTAATTTAAGTAAAATACAAACATTCAAACTTTGTCGAGATCCTCTGCAACGGCTTTAACAAGTCAATAAAAAGCTCTTCTCTCCTTACTCATGCCTAAAACCGGTCCCATTCTTATCTGAACTCCACCGAGTTCACCATTTCATTGTGGGTTGATGAATGGTCTGTCTTCACTTATGATCAATTTTATTCTGCTTTATATTATTTGCCTCCTGTGATCACACTCACGGATGGTTTTTACTAGATTATTTTGGGAAATCTTTGAATTTAGTTAAGTGAAAGCGTTATACAAATTTACCCCCAAAGAGGAAAGAAAACTGCAAAAGCAAGTGTTCACACACATCTTTAATAACTGTCACATCAACGGTGTCTTAATGTAACGGAGCCGCATTTTTTCGCGAATTACGGATGAGTGAGACGCAGGTGGTTTTTCTAATATTTCTACCTGATAATGTCATCTGTATCGTCTTGGTAGGTTGACATGGTGAGACCCACCCGTGGTGGTAGTAGCCATAGTCCACATCGGATAAAGGAGGTTAACGATGCTATTCTTCAGCTTATTCTGTCTAGTCCATCACTTAACCCACCTATCAACATTCTTACTTCATTTCATTAAAATTATTTTATTTTCACATAAATTTATAACCAATTCGAGCTAATACAGGAAGGCATTGCTTTTCATGTCTGATCTCCTCTGCCTATTTTAGATGTACAGATATTGTAAATGATGTAGTTATTTATGGTTATTTGTAGCAAAGATGGTGTCATCATCAGACTTGGATGAATCCGGCTGGCAAGAAGATGGAAGGCCCAATTCAAAACAGAAAAAGTCAGTGTATTAGAATTTTCCTTAAAGTTTAAGTTAATTTGTTTGGAAATCCTTTCATGAATGCTAATCATATTGATTCCAGAACAAAAGGACCTAGTCTTTATGAAATTCTGGGTATTACTGAGGATGCGTCGGATGATGACATCAAGCGCGCTTACAGGAAACTAGCCTTAAAGTATCATCCTGACAAGAATTTGGAGAATGATCCGGAGAAAACTGAACGCGTTGGTTTTGACCATTTAGAGCTGATTTCAGTTTGAATGCTTATGACGAGTGAGAAATTCAACTGTGTAAAATTTAATTTAATGTAATGTTTTTCTTCTTTTTTGAAAAGAAAGTATAATATTAATTTAAGCATAAGAAGAGAAACTTTGCAGATATCCAAGCATTCTGATTAATTTTTCTCACCTTTCAGTTTAAAGAAATTAATCATGCACATGCTGTACTTTCGGTGCCAACAAGGCGTAAAGTATACGATAAATATGGAGACATGGGTCTGAAGTTGATGGAACAGTTTAGTGATGATGGTGCTGTGATCGGTTTAGCTTTCAAGCCCTGGTTTAAGGTTAAGCTTATTTCAAGGAAAATTTAGTTTATCAATAAAGTGGTAAGATGTATGTAACTATCGTTTATTTTCCATTGAACAAGAGATTTTGGGGTGCTAAACTTCATTTCATATTTGATTATGCTACTGTATACCTGAGACATGAGGTTTGTTACATATTCGTACTATGGAACACGTCCCATTGTTTTCACAATACGGGTAAGAACGCTCTTCATTAAGCTGTAATTAGAAAGTTAAAACCGTTTATAAACAAGTAATGATTTGTTGTACCTTTTGCAGTGGACGTTCATCATTTGTGGTCTTTCGACATGTTGCTGTTTCTTTTGCTGTTGCGGCTGCATGTTTTGTTGCAATTGTTGTTGCAACTTTTGCTGTGGTAAATATAAACCGAAAGGATTTGATGAGGTCTGCTATTGTTCCTACAATTTGAACTAGTATTAAAGACTGCATTAAGGATTTTTCTCTTTGTTGAAGTGTCATATTTAACTAGTAGTAAACTGATCCTAATCATTCAGGAAGGAGATATCGGGGAAAGTGATGCAGAACAAGAAACGAATGGAACTGTCTCAGTGATTGTTGATCAGCCAGAAGAGTCGAATATGTTGCCGAAAAGTGTAATTTATCTATATCTTTACTCTAAATTTCGGGAACTAACGGAAAATCATGTTTTTTTTTATTTTTTTTGTTTTTGTTTCAATTTCACTTCATATATCCTTCTTTGGTGCTTTTGGTTCTCCTTTACCTTAAGTGTACATCCTTTTTCAGAGTAAAGATGATGAAAATCTAAAAATTGCGGAAAGCTCAAACGAGAAGTTGCGTGATTACCCTACATCATATTCAATAAATCATATAAGCAGTGAAGCTGATCCTGAAAATTGAATGCTCTGACCTCAGGTAAGTGTTTGCAGTCAATTACTTAAGATGTGCTGATATTGTTTAGTTCGAGTTTCATTTGCTTGATTCTAGAACAAAATTTCAAACTCTCGAAAATGTTTTTTCCCTTCAGTCTTCATTTTTGTTTATAATAAAGTATGATTTTTATTGCATTTCATTGCTGCAAAATCTTTTTTACTGATGTAATTTACGGCTGGAAGTATTTTAGGAAATGGTAATGTATGACGTTGTTTGCAACAGGAAAGTTCTGCGAAGGCCTTGAAGTGAATGTGTATCACATATTTCATGCTCAAGTAAAATTACTAAATAGCAGTGGTTAGATGAATTATTTGGCAAAGTCATAATTTTTACCCGTTTTTTTTTCTTTTTTGTAATTAAATGTCATTATTCCTTCACTTTTTTGATGAAAGCATATAAAGGTCAGTCCTTGTTGCTATTTTAATTTTCACTACACGGAGCTTAATTTTCGCAATTTTTCTGCGCGTTCCAGGTTATTGCAAATATTTGTTCTATGTAAAGTTTCCTCTATATTGAATTTTTTCGCTTTCCTGATCGAGAATCAGTTAAATGACCCTTTGCGGAGTTGCTTGTTTTCAAGTAGTTCATTGTGTTTACTTTTGTTCAGCCATCCAAGTGTGTGTTGTTTTTGTCCTCGATTATATTGTCATAAGGTGCAGATCTCATTAGGCTTGTGATACCTAGGTTTGTATCTAAAAAGAAAAAAAACGCGATTTGGGAAGATTAAACCTGCAGATAAAATTCCCCTGCCACTAATCGAATACTTTCAGAAATGAGTCAGTATGTGGTTATGAATTTATAAGTGCATGAATGTCTCAGTTCCATTGAAGACCATTTTATTTAATATGAAGTCTGTGTGGCCCCATTTTCTGTGTTTGTTTGCTTCTGATTAACTATTAGAGGTATCGTAAAAGTCATTTTTTGTTCGGGAAAAATTTTCAGGGTTGTCTTGCATAGTTATGACGCTTTGATGTATCGAACACTTAGGTTTCTCTCAGGTTATTTTCCTGATTTGATGGAATTCCTATGCTTCTGGGATACCTATTTTTAAATATTTCCCTCATTAATTTGCTCACATTCTCTGTAAATATATGCATTATTAGTAGTGATGATTTTCTTTTTTTCTGTTCAATGCTGCTTTGTATTACAGTCGTATTCGAGGTCTAGAGAATGGAAGTGTCCTGAAGGTTAGTTGTCATTAATCTATTTATTCGTCTAAATTATAAATGATTAATTAAATTTTAGTGGACCGGAACTGTGTCAGCAGAAGATGTTCCCATATTTGTCTTTATGGATGAACAAGAGGATACAAACTGAGTTAATAAAAAAGTTATTAGTGTAATGTTGAACAGTTGAGAAAAATGTATGGGATGGTTGGCACTGGATTACTTAAATCAGGTAGCAGCGAAAAGAAACTGGTCGATAGCGTAACCCTCCACTTGGTAATAAATGAAAATCGGTCGATAGCGTAATCGTCGATGCAATCGTCGAGTTTCGATGACTAACTCATCGCCATCTTCTAGATTTCATTTGGACGCTATATCCTGTATTCCATTGGACTCTAACACTAATACGCGGTCAGCTATCCTTTTGTTGCCTATTGAAAGAACATTTAATTTAACACTTGGTGTTGTTAGGAACCTCTTACCTCGCGACATCTTATTTATTGCTGGGTGGTTACAAAGGTACCAATCTTTGTATAAATTCGTTGGATTTTTGACTCTTTTATGATTATATTTTTTTTCTCTACTGTTGACGCTGAGGTTATGGGTCTTGATAATGTTGTTTTTGCAACAATTAAACAATGAAGAAGGCATTTAATGATAATTTATATTACGCAACATAATAAGAACTGAAGGATATCATGGTAAAATCATTGTTTCGTGAATTTTTCTGTTTTACAATTTCCTAAAAGTTTTTTACTCATTTAAGTTACATTATGTAACAAGGTTGATCATCTTAAGTAGCGCTAGTAGGAACTAAACTATAAGGATGGGACGAAGGACTGATAAATCTTTACCCAGGCAGGTAAGCAAATGCATCGCAGTGTTTTGGTAAGATGCTTCTTAAGGCTGGATGGTTTCTGGCTTTGAGTTTCGTGAGATCGGAGAATTTTCGAATGAGTATTCGATGACAGCTACGAAATAAACTTGCATTCTCATATTCTTACAATTCTACCATTCTGCCGATATTGCCAGGTGATGCAATTAACTCGGGGGAGATTTGTCCCAGTGTAATGAGCATTTGACTGGCTAATGGACATATCATTGCTTTCAAAGATGCTACTTTTTTATTGGATGATGGTGATCGGTTTAGGTTTTCTACATCGATAATATTATGTATCTTTACTCAGTGTTAAGTAATCTTTGTTATTGGAAGGTTGCAGCGTACTTAACTCTGTGGTTGTTGACGAATCAGGTGGTTTCAGAAAGTTTCTTCTGATGTAGTTGTCACTTGAATCTTTTGGCTTTTGTGCATTCAGTGTTTCACTGCTTACATTAAAACTGACATCTGAATGCAGCGCAATACGTTCCGGTGGTATATTGACGATACAGTTTAAGAAGTCCATTCCGATTGGTAATATTCCTAAATTTCAACATTAAGCAAATTCAAATAAACTTTGTTTTTCGTTATTTTTATTGTGGAAAAAAAAACAAATTTTGTAAATTTTGTTCGTTCACGACGACTGAAAAATGTAAATTTTCTGATTCAAGATCGCAGGGGTGGGAGTAGAACACTGCTGATTAAAAACATTTAAAGGAAGTCCAGCTTTTCTGTTATGTAATTGTTTTGGATAAATACTGAATAGTTTTGAATAACATTGCTTGAGCTTTTGCAGATGGTTTCGATGGACTAGCTAGATCGTGTTGAAAAAGTGGCATAAACTTTTTCAAATATGAAACTAGCCATTTGCGAATAAATATTCGGAAAGATAAGAAGTTCCAATGCAAGCGATGAATGAGCCCAACATGGCCATTGTTCGGAACGGGAAGAACTGAGTTCCCGATGTGGTGCCGTCTTCTTTGGTCACTTCTTCGTACATAGGATAGTGGATAAATGCCGGGAAAGAAAGGAGTGGTTCACCTCCAGATAACCTTAGCAATAATCCCACTGCAAATGAAATTTTTTTTAAACTTTATATAGAGTTGTTGGACATCTGGTGATTTTACTTAATTTCTAGAAACTTAGTGGATCTTACATGATCAAGTTTGAGGAACTTGATGGATAATAGTCATAATTTCAGAGGTTATAATTCGGCACACTTTTCATTACCATCCCAACAAATGGAATACAACAGCAATGGAACTCACCGACATAACCTGTGACGGATCCGTAAGTATTGGAATGCTTGAAATATACAACACAAACGAGTTGCGGAAAAAGTATAACGTAGACAAGATCTGCACACAGGTACCATAAGCCGTAAATGCTATTTATTGTGAGTGCCATTAAAGTTGCACAGAATCCAACTGCAATAATTGCAATACGCATCACACAGATCACTTCTTCTTCATGAGCCTGAAAAAAAAAAAAAACCTCTTGAAGAGGTTGTATTTTCTTAATGTGATAAATGGAAAACCTACATTTGGTCGGATAGCTAACTTCCATATATTGTGCGCAAACATGGATGCCGCTGAAAGTACCGATGAATCAGCGGATGACATTACTGCAGCTGATACTGCACCGAGTCCTGAAATTCATCTGTGCACTTTGTAAATTCGCAAACACTTAATCGAAGGGCATGAGAAGGAAAACTGTGTGAAAACTAATCTAAACACATCTGCTTAAATGTTAAAGCTAATATTAAACTTGCCGATGAATGCAACCCATTTTGGTGTCAGATACTGAAAAACTAGCGGCACAACCATGTTTGTCTGATCAGCAGGAATTGATTCACTTTTTGTACCATTGTTCCAAGGATTGTAACTGGTCAACCTCCAATCTATAAATTTATTCTTATAAGTTACTCCCAAAACAATCTGGGATCTAATTCGACCAGTCTGAAGCGGCAGCATCCTGATTGGTAGTAGCGGAAAAATCGAAGTTGTAAACTTCTTTCCGAAGATTAGCCTAGATATTATTGAAGAATGGTGTGCTGATCCCAGTGAAGTTATTACGTAGTTATAAGCACCCTTAATTTAATAAAGACGACTCAAATAATAACCAGTATTTCGAGCAATGGCTCCGATTAAGGCAGGTGGTATAGCCATTAAAATACAACCGATACCCGCCACGAATGACAACTTCTGCGCACCTGACGATGATTTTGATGATAGTACTCTTTGAAAATACACCTTAAAACAGTATGGTTCTTTTGCTTGTCTACTTAATATAAAGCGGAAAAGGAATTCAAGTTTTTCAAAATTTGTGTCTGAGAAAAAATTGTTCATGGAAATCAGAAGGTAATCAAAGTTAAAATTAACAAACAGTTGAGTTCCAAGTTTTTAGATCAAGTGAAACTTCATGTTTTTTAAAGCTGAAAGAAAATAAAAATGTATCATGGAAACTAGCCTGCCAGGGGATACCACCAAAAATAAGTAACAGCATGCAGTCTATCCAGAGTGCCGTCTCCTTAAAGCCGCCAATGGTACCAATCCAATCCGCTGCGTTTCTTGATAAATCTTTCGTTTTATCTTGTAACAGTGATGCTGGTACGCAAACCCACTATAAATGATTGTTCTGTCATAAACTTTCCTTGTAGTCTTAGTATTTTCACCAACAAAATCTCAGATTTTAACGGAAGATTACTGAAGTTATTCTGAACAGATTTATTCTTTGGCTCCTAAAAGAGGCAATACCAACTGTCGGAAACTTATCTTCGATACCTGTCTGTCTAGGTGCTGGTGAATCCAGCTTCCTGGTCATTACTAGCCAAAACATACTAATTATTGCCAGTTTATAAATTTCATAAAAGTTATTGATAAAAGCTTTATATCTATTACTAGAATCAATGAATTTAAGACCACAAAGGATTCCTTGAAAATTTTTTTTTTTATATCGGATTAATTCAGCAGATGTACAACGAACCAAGCCGACAAATATGCAAAATAGCTGTACAACATCTGTGTATGCAACAGCGTATAAACCACCCGTGAAAGTGTAAAATACAGCAATTATTGCTGATATTATTACTGATAATGTCATATCAATTGCCAGAATCACTGATAGTGTTGCCCCTGAAATGAGCAGTAAAGAATACTTTGTGAAAAAGCCAATTGCAGTATTCCCAAGGAGGAATTCTTTTAGAAACATACAATTCAATTTAAAGATTATGTGATAATTTCTAAACTAACCAAGAGCAGATAAAATCGCAGCTGTCCAGAATACTTCCCCAAGAAGAGCAGGAATGAACAGAAGACCACCAACTCTTTGGCCATATTTCATCTTAAAAATGGTTATTAAATTGCCAAAATTTAATTGACTCCATAAATTGAGAATTTTCTACGGAAATAATGCATGACTTTCCCGACCTTCAGCAATTCGACAACAAATTATTTCAAAATCCCGAAAGCATACCTGGAATGGGTCCAACATTGTAATATAACCTTCATCACGCATCTTTTTCGCAAAAAGTATGCCACCAATAACTAATGATAATGCATAACCGAATGGCGCTTGACATCCTAGAAGACCACCATTGTAGAGCGCTTCTGCGGTACCATTGATATAAGCTCCTCCAACCCAGGTTGCTATAAAAGACAGGCAATTCACTAAGTCTAAATGATACTTGCTGGGAAGAAAGTAATGACTCAAATTGTTATGGTAACAAAATC